CTCGTTGTTCCACTGTCACCCATATAAATATTCAAATATTCAGGTACATGGAATCAGATTAAATTATCTTAAACAAATTGAGGCGCAGACAAAGGGCAGTGCCGGAGGGTGGAAAACCCGAAACTAAAAAAAAGCAAAGTACATTTAAATTACATGAGATTTTTAGGGAAAGACTACTACCCCAGCTCCAGCTGCAGCTCCAACTCCTGCCTCGTCTCCAGTTCCAGCTCCAGCTATAACCCCACCATATGTAGGCAGAGCACTTACTAGACTGCAATAATAGACATTTACTTTCTGGCCGCGGGCTCCCCAAAAAGAGCCAGCCAAATGTGGTTGTCCTTTGTTGATTGCGGTTGCCTTTGTGTGGCTAGCGGGAAAGCCTTTAAAGCCTGCCCAAGCGATCATCAAAAAATTGCTTTTAATTACCTTTTAATTGTTTTCGCAAAACGAATTTGAGCTGAGCCAAACTGGTGTGCGTTCTTGGCCTAATTACACAGCTCATAGCCGCCTGTCTCCCAAAAAAGGGTGAGTGGAGCCGCCGCCTTGGCGCACAAATTTCATCATTTAATGGACCACTGGGCGTATGATTCGATTGGACCAGTGACACACTTGGCCGGAGCAACTCACTTCAACGGAGTTCCACGGAGTTGGATATTTTGATTAGCACCGCAAGCGCAATTGTCAACAATATGATATTATACGCTCAACTCGGGGAATAGCAAGCCCAAACTGAAATTCCATGGTTCGTTAGGCAATTCAAATGAGATTGCGATTGCTTTTTGAAGTTCAAGGAGCAAGTGAAATGACTAAGGGGGAGCTCTGCTGAGCTTCATTGATTCAGAAATGTATATTTTAGTAACTAATTCAAAAATTCATCACATATTCATCAACATTTTATAAGCTATTCATCAACAATGGCATGGCCATTCGACACTTTGAGTACTATACCTAGAGAACCTTGAGATATTTTTCAGAATTTTCTATAATAATATACATAAGCTATGGAGTTTATTTAGCTGTAAAATTGATAAGTTTGTTTGATTGTAAAATCATATTTCTTAACAAAAACAAGATGAGATACATTCTCATTTTCCGTACTCCTTTAAATATGTCATATGTATTATTTCATTCCCTTGCTGGCTCCAGAATGCCCCGAGGCTCTTACAATATTACATTTGCATTTCGGCTTGTATCTCTGCGCCTGTGAGTCCATGATTCGATTGTATCTCTTACTCCACTCCCCAATTGTGGCGCATGAAAGGTGATCGATACCATAATGAGCGCATTCAGAGGACATTGCCGGTGGGTGGGGGGAGGGCAGGTGGAGGAGATACGGATACAGCGGCAGAGGTAGCAGAGCAGAGGCAGCACATAATGTGGCCATGTGGGAGCTGGCGCAATGCGTGCGCTATCATTTTTCGAACTGATGTATCTCGCTTGTAGTTGTATCTATGTGACGTCTGATATTCATACATATACATACACACTGAAGCACACACACTAGCTCACTGGCAGAGCAGAGCAGCGTTTGCCGTTCACCTAATGCAATTGTCCAAAATGTTCAACCAACTACTCAAAAAGTCATCGTTCAGATTTAACAAGAGCTAAGCGCGTGGGTGGTTATGGGGGAGGAGGTGAAATGAGGAGGTACACGAGAAGAAATATATCACAAGTAAATTTGTACAATGAGATTATAATTAAATAAAATAAAAAACCATAATAAAACCATAATGATTATGATCTTTTGTTGAGAAAAAATATAATTATTTTAAAACACTGAGTGTTATAATTTTATTTACCTATTAATAATAAAATAGGATGGAAAATGAATTAAACAATTTATTGATCAGTACAAAAAAATTCAGTTAATAAAATTTGAAGAAATATATCACAAGTAAATTTGTATAATGAGATTATAATTACAATAAAAAAAAATATATAAAATATAGCATAATGATTATGATTTTCTGGTGAGCGAAAATGTAATATTTAAAAACACAGTGTTGTAATTTTATTTACATATTATTAATCAAATGTTTATAGGGTGGAAAATGAATGAAACAATTTATTGATCAGTACAAAAAAATTCAGTTAATAAAATTTAAAGTTGATATGAGATTTTTACTCAAACTAGCTCTCCTAAATTTGAGTTTAGTTTTCATATCCTTTCTTTTCAGTGTAGGGGGTGGGCATATCAGGGCCTGGGGGTGGGAAAGAGACAGAGCCAGCCAGCAATGGCGATGTTCGCGTGCTTGTATGCGTGCTCTGTACATGCATACATACACAAATGTATGTACTTTTACACTTTTACAGCGATTGTGCAAGAAGCTGTTAATGGGGGAGGTAATGTGGGAGGTGGTAAGGTGGCGGGGTGGCACTGTGGCAAGCGCGGTGCCTTTGAAGCCCCTTTGGCTACGTTTTGAAAACTCATTTACTTGTGGCATGTAAACAACTAATCTGTTAACACTCCGGACAAAGCGCGAACGATACATTAGCGTGTTCCCCGTCGCCATGCCGCACTGCCACACCACCCAGACACCATCCCACCTGGGTATTTCCGGATCCTGTCAAGCCCCGAGAATGATGAAGCACCACAAAAAAAAAAAAACAAGGAGAAAAAGAAACCACTGCTAAAACCAACACCAGTGACAGCGCCACAATAAAAACTTTTGCTTGTGAATATTTCCCTTATTCATTCGTCGGACATAATCAAAAGTTCCCTTTCTGCCAAAATGAAAACGTGATTTTGGTTATATACGTTCGTATATATGCATGGGACGCAAGGAGGTAGGCGGGCTGGAGGGTCGGTCGTCCTGGCATAAGGAGATGGCTTATAGGAGGCAGTAGCAGCAGCAGCAGAAGTGGGGGAAATGGAGGAGCCGCGGGACGGGATGGAGGGAGGCAGCCAGTAGAGGTTGCCAGACCACATGGTGTCAAACATTTTGCTACACTTATACAATATGCTACGCTTACTGTGGAGCGAACTTAATGCAATAGAGGTTGTAAAAAATACAAATTTTAAAATTTTATTTTTAATAAGTAATTTTAAGTGTCACAGAAATATGGCTTTTGAGGGGTTTGTAATTCACTGTTCAGACTCTCAAGAAAATCTAGCATTTCTTATTTATTTTAAAGTACATTTTCTTTGAAAAATAACTATTTTTAACGATATCTAAGACTCTTTTTATTATATAAGCATAAACCGCATCCTTTATACAAAATCTTAATATTAATAAGTTGTAAATAAATATAACGTTCAATATTTATTATAAGAAATTATACATCCTTTTGAACCCAAAAACCGGCTCTTTAAGAAGGGAGTCAAGCTTTCATCAATAACATCCGGTACTGATCTACTTCAACCTTTTGCTGATATATACAATATCAGTTTAAAGCTAGAACCTGTTGCGAATTTTTGTGAAAAACAAGCGGTAAATGAGCTACTATATTATATAGATTGTTTTCTACAATTTGATTTTGTCAGTACATCTTTTATATAAGAAAACAATAAAATATCCAGTTTATTTAATGTTTACAAAAGTTTTCAAAATGAAACATTATTGATTAGATTATTTAAATGTTATATGTAAGTGATATAATGACTTAATCCATATTTTCTAATAATATTCCATCGAAAGACAGTCTAATATGAGCCAATCACTTCAGCAAACAGATTCCATTTAATTTGCTTTGGTTTGTAATAATCGTAATCCGCCTGATCTCGTTCCACTGTGCGGTTGTGCGGCTGCCTGTCAGGCTCTGCCCGCTTGTTTTATTTGATTTCTTTATCAATACCTGAGCTGCCTCCCCCCGCAGCCCATGCTGGAACCCCTGGAATAAGCCCCGTTGTTATCCTGCAATTGCAACTGTATAAGTTGCCAGTGTGCGAGGGTCTCTCCCTGGGTTCGTGTGTATGTGTGTGAGTGGGTCTTATGTACAATTCATTTAAACGTGACCCATGAAGGCAATGCCACCACCGCAGGCGCTGAAAAGAGACGGCAGCAGAAGCACTGAAGCTGCCAGGCCAGAGGCCAGAGAGAGACAAATGTAGAGGCAGCAAGCAGCAACCACGCCCACCCCGTAACCAGTGCCCTGGTATGGTGGTGCTTCGCATCCGTATCCGTATCCGTGTCTGTAGCTGTAGCTGCTGCTGCTGCTGTTAATGTTGCTGTTGTTGCTGCTGCCTGCGTATCTGTGTGCGACAAACTGGTTGTTGGTTGTTGGTTGGTATTGGTGGCAACTCGTTTCTGTTTCCATATCTTTTTCCTAGCTGTATCTGTATCTGTATCTGTGGCTGTATCTGTGTCTGCAGCTGGCAGCTGGCAGCAGGCAGCAGGCGGTAGCAGTGGCATTAGCAGCCGGAGCTGCCTGCCAGAGTATCTGTATCTGTGGCGCGTCATTGTTGTGCTGCTACTGCCGCTGCCACTGGTGCTGCCTCTGTCGCTGCTGCTGCCACGATAGCTTCTATAGCTTCTGTACCGCTCCATCCGTCGCCTAGTGGGCAGCTCAGTTACAAGACCATTATTTGACGTATTTTTTGCGCGCTCGGTTGGTCGTTTGGTTGGTCGCTCTCTCGGTATCGCAACATATCGCCTCGCCTCGCCTCGTATCGCTTATATCCATTGCCAAATCCCCCCGTTTCGATGTGGAGCAGCAGTCGCGCTCCTCCGCTCGTGGACCGGGCACGGGTATCGCATTCATGAGCTGGCTCATTGGCAATCATTTGGATTCGTACGCCATCCGGGGAGCAGCATTCGTTTGCCATTAAATCCTCCGCATCCTCGGGCGCCCCACGATCGTGATCGCGTGTGTCAAGTGCTGAAGTGACCTCCACAAAGTGACCCACAAAACCAGAAAAAACCATTTAAATATATTTAAACGAAGCAGGGAGTGATTGTGGTCGCAGGACAAACGTAAAGTGTAAGCCGTGCCCAGCAAGATTGCTTCGTTCCGGTGGAGAGTAGTATGCCCATTTGGTCACAGTGGATTCAACGAATAAAATGGCCGTTGGACCGACGGAGGGCAAACAGCCGCCCTCAGAGAGCTTCTCGCCCACGCACCACCAGATTATAGCACCCAGCCCCATCCTGGCCGTACCCACGCTGGCCTTCTCCGCCGCCCAGGTGGAGATCGTGTGCAAGACCCTGGAGGACTCCGGCGACATTGAGCGCCTGGCCCGCTTCCTCTGGAGCCTGCCGGTGGCCCTGCCCAACATGCACGAGATCCTCAACTGTGAGGCGGTGCTCCGGGCCCGCGCCGTCGTCGCCTACCATGTGGGCAACTTCAGGTAGGACTTGGGAATCGGATGCTGAATTTCCATTTAGAAACGAATTCCGATTCCGATGGAGAGGCTAACAAAAAGCCCCGAGGCTCGGATGTCACTGCCTCCTCTCCTGTCCCCTGATTAACCCCAACGAACGAACAGACGGTCATCCGATAGTTTTGCACAGCTTAATGAGGGCACAATGAGACGCTAAATTAATAAACAAAGGGATTAATTTACTAATTAAAGAACTGGCTGCTGGGCAAAGCCAAGTGGAGCAGGCTTGATTAATAAAACACCGACCGAACAATAGGTTCCCGGCCAGGGTCTTCCGTCGCCAGCTTCCAAAATATAGTCTCACATTACACTCCAGCTTCTAAGACGACCGGAAACAATTCGTTTGCATGGCAATTGGAATTTCGCCAAAAAAACAAAACAACAGACAAAGGATCGCGAGAGATTAGCTTTTTGCAGAGTTGGGTATATATCATAGGGGCTTGGGGAATCTATAATGGGAAGACGCAGCTAGACCCACTCACTCGACCCGTTCTGTGAAGTGGGCAAACAGGTCCGTTGCGGCGGCAATCGATAGCGACAATTATCCAAAGCAGTCGCTGCTATAAACGGCTGCATCAGGTTTTGCATCTCATCTATGCCAAATCAAATGAAGCCTGCCTGCAGGCCGAATGGCTATGTAATTCGAGTACAATCAATCAATGTCGTATATAAAAATAATGGTGTATATAGTGGATATGGAACGCGTATGCATATACGGGGGACCTGGCGATGCAAGTGATTTGATTGCTTTGACTCGGTAAATAAACGACTTCCAATTAAAACCATTTGACGTACTCAACTGAGCTGTCAACGCCAGTGACGACAATAAATGCTTATGAAATTGTTTCAAAATACATATGGCGAGGGCTTAGGACGCCCGTTGTGAACGGGGTGTGACTTGACTCTCCTGGGGTGGGGATTGGATGGAATGGCTTTGCCAGCGGGATATTTTTGAGACCCAGAGGGTTGAAACTAAGCTAAAGCTACTATAATATATACTATATAGTATCTGAATTATTCACACTCTGGTCTCTCTTTCCAGGGAACTGTATGCAATAATAGAGAATCATAAGTTTACTAAGGCGTCCTACGGCAAGCTGCAGGCCATGTGGCTGGAGGCCCACTACATTGAGGCCGAGAAGCTACGCGGTCGATCACTCGGTGAGTAAGCCTTGATTCATACTAGCTAAATTTACAAAATAAATGCCCAAATATAGGAGACTTTGCTTAATTGACATTAAATGTTTGTTTGCATAGACAAGCCTCTAGTATTTCTATATCTGATTTATGCATTTATCTTTATCGATTCATTAAACTATTTATTTGACTTTGAGTACCATAAAACGTTGTTGGTTTAAAGTGTTTATAAACAAGGTTGTTAAGTAAAAATCATATCAATTATCAAAATAATAAAAAAGGTTTCAAATCTTATAATCTCTACCCATTTATTACATTACAATAACTTACTTACTTAAATATCTTATGCTTAAATTATACAAAAAGTAAAATGAATATATGTACATTCTTTAGTTCTTTACTCATAGAAGAAAAATTAAATTAACTTGTTGTCGTAAATGTATAATTTTCTAATTCCTATCATCCTATTATGCTTATACTTAAAATATTCAAGAATGTATATCGTACCGTTTCAACAAAAATTCACTTTTCACAATACAAATTTGTTAAATAAAATAAACATTTTAATATTGAAAAATGGCTAAACCTTTCTTACCGTTATAAAATTCACACTTATTCTAAGGAAATATGGATCCTACTAAATGAAACACCAATGCCAACTAGTCGAATACGCAATATTTGTTTACATATTATATTTCCCTTAAAAAATTAAAAACAAATTATTATATGAATCTTATTAACTAATTTGATACAAAACGAAGATATTTTCAATGAATTCCAAAATCTAAATAAATAATTTAAGTTATGATGATGGCTTTAGTTTTATCATTACATTAGGAATTTTTTTCTCAAGATTTTTATACCCTTGCAGGGTATTATAATTTCAGTCAGAAGTTTGCAACGCAGTGAAGGAGACGTTTCCGACCCTATAAAGTATATATATTTTTGATCAGCATCAACAGGGGAATCTTTCTAGATATGCCAGGAAGAAATCGATTTTTTGGCCATTTTTGCTAAATTTTATAGGGGGTTACATCATTAAAATTTTTGATTTTGATAAAAAATTGAATTTTCAAAATTTTTAAATGAAGTATGCAGATTTATTAACTATAGAAAATCTTGCACAGAACAGTTTTCCGATTTAAAATTAATGCTCTTTTGGCCGAGTTATGATATTTATAATTTAAAAAAAATCAATAAGTTTTTTAATATAAAAAATCAGATTTTATAATACAAAATAATATTTTTCTAAGTCAAGGAATCATTTCCGACCCCATAAACCATATATATTTTTGATCAGCATCAACAGGGGAATCTTTCTAGATATGTTCGGAAGAAATCGATTTTTTGGCCATTTTTGCGAAATTTGATAAGGGGTTACATCATTAAAATTAGCAAAAATGGCCAAAAATTTTGATTTCTTAAAATTTTAAATTTGGTATGCAGTTTTTTTAAATTAATAAAAACTAACACAAAACTGCTTTCCGAATCGAAATTAATGCATTTTTGGCTTAGTTATGATATATTTTAATTGTTACCTGCAAGGGTATACAAGCTTTCTTTCTTGTTTTATATGTAAACATCTCAAATTATATCATTATTTTTAGTGTTCTCTTTAACAAAACTGCTAAAAATAATTTCCAGAATATATTGTACACCTATCCCAAAAATTAAATGTAATCCTCACATCAAACTTAACTTAACTTTCAGGCCCCGTGGACAAGTATCGAGTGCGCAAGAAGTTTCCCCTGCCGCCGACGATCTGGGATGGCGAGCAGAAGACCCACTGCTTCAAGGAGCGCACGCGGAGCCTACTGCGCGAATGGTACCTTCAGGATCCGTATCCGAATCCCACCAAGAAGCGGGAGCTGGCCAAGGCCACCGGCCTGAATCCCACGCAAGTGGGCAACTGGTTCAAGAACCGACGCCAGCGGGATCGGGCCGCCGCGGCCAAGAATCGGTGAGTGTTTGTGGGCCAACTTAATTAGCCATTAGAGTTAGACGACGGGGCCTAGAAGAGACAGAGAAGGAGCCAAGCTGGGGGAAACTCGATCCGGGCTGGGTAAATCGATACCCCTGCCCAGATACATTCTGTGGGCCATTTGGGGCGGGGTAGGCCAGGTCAAACCAGGAGGAGCATGGAGCGCGGAGCGGGGATCGCACAGGAGCGTTTCCATTTCATTGATCCGTGCCGATCTGCGGCAGCGGTGGCGGCGGCACCCAGTGAAGCGTTCTCGATTTCTGCTGTTTGTTGCGGTCTCCGCTTTTTGGCCACATTAAACTGACCGCCGACGATGAAGGGTATGGGCTTGGGCCAGGTCCAGAGACAGGCCGGGATGCGATGATGATGAAGGAGACAAAGTACGGCGATGATGATGATGATGATGCTGATGGCGATGACGATGATGACAGTGTAAACGCAGCTCATGCTTCAGCTGGAAAGGTGCAACCCGCTTGCAAAATATGGCCAGAAGAAGTTAAAACTCGACCAATTCGCGCGAAGTTGAAATGAAGAAGATCCCGCTCGAAGTGAAAGAAGGCAAGTTAAGTGGAATGACACTGCAAGAAATCCTCAGTCGGAGCGCAGTGGAATCGTAGTCCACTCAAGTGTTTTGGCTGCTCCTGCAGATGCGCAAATATTTCAAGTTCTACCTGCTCACAAAAAGAGCAAGGAGGGAAAAGGAAAAGTAAAAGAAATCGAGACAACATTTGGCATTCCTTGGAAACCCGGCACAGCCAGAGGAGAGATCCCATCCAGCGATCCCCGTGTTTATTAAGTTAGGAGCCGCATCGGCAGTGGCAGCGGCCTCGTCTCAAATTGAATGAATCTGCACAAAGCGCCAAGCGTAGCCAAAAAAATAAGAAGTTTACTAAGTAAAAAAAAAAGGGAAAAAATAAAGAAAAGTGCGCATCAAAAATACACATGAAAAATAAAAACCAGATGCGAGCGGGTCATTAGTTAAAATGATGGCGATTATTTCGCTTGTAAAGCAGCAGCAGCCACGGATACGCCGCCATTACAACTCCATCCGCACTCGATCCGCGGATCCCAGGCCCCAGTCCAAGATCCGATCCCCCGATCCCTGCCTGAATTCGAGTTTTTCGAGGTTTCGTGTAGTCATCGTGTTATTAAGCGGCGGCGGCGGCAAAAGCCCCCAGAGATGAGACAAAAAGGCGCACTGGAGGCACAAATATATGTATGCTCGGTGTCCATATAAAAAATATGAAATTAAAAGCCGTTCATATGCGACGGCCAGACAACTTCGACAGCGCCAGGCGGCATTCAGTGGCGGCGGCAAGGGTTCCGAGAAGGGGGACACGGGACCATTCTAACCGGGAACCAAACCAGACCCAAGACATCAGGCGCTGACTGTTCAAGCATTGTGCGCTGAAAAATTGTTAACATTTTTGCTACTGCACTTGTGCGAACGGGGACCGACAGGCGAAGTCAGTCAGAGAACCGAAGGAAGGTTAAGTTTTCACAACGAAACTTGGAGTACCCTTACTTTGGAAGGGTTTTAGGTTTGGGATATTATTGATGGATTTCATTTCTATAGAAAATGTTGTGACTTTATAGAAATGAGCCATAATAGATCCCTTAAAGCTGAACCCATAAAAGAAGGTTAAGTTTTCACAAAGAAGCTTTGAAAGGGTTTTGAGCTTTGGACAGAATATTTTGTTAAGGAGACTGGATAGATAAAAGCCATAATAGGTCTCTTAAACCAAGAAAAGTCTACTACCAATTAAATACAGAAAGGAACTATACCTAAACCTCTTCAACGACTTAAAGCTGGATTGCTAATCCGCCTTTCGAAAAGTGATATCTAAGAAAAGCAATCTCTTTACTCGATTATTCTCCAATAATATTGGTTATCTCTTTAATCAAAACTTAACCTAAACCTCTTTGAAAATATGTGCCTGCACCTACTCTCCCTCAAAAGCATATTCCCAGTTTCCTTACATTATCATAGCACCCTCTAATATAGGGTATACCAAGGCAGCTGAAGCTGGAGCAACAAGATCGTGAAGCCAGAAGGAGCCACGATGTCAAACGGTTGTTGTTGGCCCCAGCCAAGATGGTAAATCAATCAAATACACAGCTCCAATCCGCAGCCACAGCCACATCCACATCCACTCCATTAGAAAGGCTCTGGGGAGAAAGGCAGCGGCAGCGCGTTTCCCGCTCCCGAATTGAGTAATTAAGACATCGGAGATTGATCGACTCAACTCGACTTGAGTCGTTACGGCGGAAACTCGGTGCGCTGTAGACTTGTCATGCTCTGATGCCTTCAGCCGCCAAGTGGCCATTGCAAATAGAGTATGGAGCATGGAGTACGAAGTGCACAGGGAGCTAGCTGGCAAGATATTCAAAATCAAGATTGCCGCACATTGCACAGGAATTCTGGGCAAGCACAGGAAAGAAACGGGTTACTAAAGCTACCCCAGTCATCACCATTTGTCCATTTCAGAGGAAACTCTTGAGGCAAAGCAGATGGGAACGTAATTAATCCAACATTAAATAGGATATTGATTTGATAATCATGATGGAAAGAACTAAAAACATATTCTGTAATTTTATTATATTTTTGTATATATAAATTCCCTCTCCGCTCTTGTGAATCACCTACCCAAACACAAATCATTAGAGAAAACAAAACGATTGCCAAGAAGCTTCTATTGTGCAAATTCATTAAGGCAAAGCCCCGGCTCGAGACTTGATTTTGATCAATTACAATTGCCACTCGACGATGCACGACAGCGATACGAAGCTCTTGGCCAAACCGAGAGCCACTGAATCCATTGAATCCACTGATTCCACTGAATCCGCCTCGCGCCGATGCTTTTATTGCGTGAATTACCCGACAAGCGAAATGCGTGGCTCGTGGACAGCCACTGGAGATGGAGATGCGATGGAGATGGAGATGGCGATGAGATTCGCCCACATCCCTGCATCCAACTCGAGCTGAGGCGATGGCCAAATTAGGGGCACAGTGGGCGTCCAAGCGAGAACACGAAATGTGCCAGCAGAAATCAAATCAACCAGCATTTCGGGAATGAGAATGGGAATCGAAGGTTGGAGTGTAATAAAGCTGAGAACACAGCAAATATGTTGTAAATGTCAATTATCAATCAAAATAACAAACACGCACTTGCGGACGGGCATATAAAGATACAAAGATACAACGGGAAGAAGAAGCTCGAACTCAAGAGGTTTTGCTCATCGATTTCCCAGCCTCTCGGGCAGCCTCTCTCGAATTCTAATGAAGAAAAAGGAAGGAGCAGAAGCAGATATTCCCAGCCCCATCTCCGACTCCATTTCGATTCCCATCCCCCCCCATCGATATCCAAGGCGGAGGGCCCACTTGTCAGAGCGCTCGGACAGGGCACTCGAGCCCCATAAGTACCCATACCCATGCCCAGGTCCAGGTCTGTGGCCATATCCAAGTCCAAGCCCGGGATGCGATCCGAGGGAGCTGAGTCCGGACCACTCGATGCTGTTTGCACAACACCAACTACCGTTTTCGGTGGCTTGTGAGAAAAATATACAACCAGCTCGATATTGAGAGCGGGAGATGGAGTTGGGATCTAAACACTGGAAAAAAATCGAATTAATATACAAAATATGTGTAGGAATAATCTTAACAAAAGCTTAGAGAATAATTATGGGCTATTAGTAGATTTGTACTAGATTCTACAATAAAATAAACTCTTTGAAGGCTAAGTAAGGTTTTAACTCTGGATTAAGATGATTCTAGATTATAAGACTCCAGAAAAATAGATAATCTAAATTTAAAGAAATCCCAACCAAGATCATAAATATTTTTCCCCGTGCATCCGCTAGCTGATGTCCAAGAATGAACTGAATGGCTGAGCAGCCTCGGTGTCGGACACTTCAATGCCGCGTAGAAAGTGTATTAAAGAAATTAATAAGAAGTCAGGTTCAAGTCATCGCCATCGGCAGGCGGATGACTCTCCATCGATGGATGGCTGGTTGAGGAGGCTGAGAAGGCTGAGAAGGCAGGCAGCAACACCGGATGTGGCCTTTTGTTCAATTGACAAGTGATAGAGGCTCGTCTCGACTCGACTCGACTCGAAATAAAAGCGAACAACACTCCGCCCCAAGGGTTGTAAATATTCAAATGCGAGCAAATTTAAATCCCGTTTGTCAACAGATCTCTCCGGCTGGAAAAGGGAATAAATATAAAATAAATGTTGATTGCATTTAGGGCACTGAAAACATAAGCAAAGGTCTGAGTTGAAGGCCCCTCGGGAGAGAGCGTAGGACTGCTCCTTTAACTGCTCTTGCCTGTCCAAATATTTACACAATTTACGGCATTCAATTCGAATTGACACAATTTACTTGAAAATACGAGTGCGATGCAATTTTCCGCCTGATTTTGTCGCTCTATTGACATGGCATTAGCCAGCAGGTTCATTGATTTTCCCGCAGCAACTAGCATAGATTTCTAGCTGGTTTTTTTGGCCTTTAAGCCATACTTAAAGCAAGCATCTTTTGTTGGCCTAGCGCAGAGATCGTGTTACCATTCCGGCATTCTTTTGCAGCCTGAATGGGTTTCAGTTCGCTTTCGATTCGAGTCGGAATCTCCGTCTTCTGACATGAGCCGATTAAGGAACATTTCAATGCATCTCGGGTTTCCCATCCAAACCCTTCTGGCTGGCCATGTCCAGGCGGGTAATTACATACGTGTCACTTCGGTTAGGTTAGGTGCCACGGGGTATCCGATTTCAGTAAACCCTTTGCCCTTGCCCTTGTCCTTGTCCCTGTGCCTGTGCCTGTCTCTGTTCAGATCGCGGCTATACCTCAGCTCCCATCTCCCATCTCCCAGCTCGCTGCCAAGTCAATTGTGTGGAAAATATATATCGTATTCGTGCATCCAAGTTTTGGGTTTCTGGGCTCAAGCCGAGCGTGCCAAGTCCCCAGTTCGTAGCTCCAGTCGAGCGTGAAAATGGCCTTGAGTCGCCCGTGCCAAAAATCTGGCTAACAGAAGCTAAAGCAAGGATATCCACGCAGAATTTTGCGTCCGAATTGGTTTAAAGTTTCTCCTGTGTGACCCACCACAGATAAGCTTAGATGGTTCTTATTACCAATATTTGGATATTCAAATAACAAAGTCCTTTTGGACTATCATTGTATGTATCTAGGAACTATAGTGTTTCAAAGTTTAAAAGAAAGCAAAGCTACCGAAAAAATATTAAACAATAGCAGCTTATTTTTATAATCGATATAGTTTCTTACCGTAAGCTATTGCCAGGACTCTAAGCTTGAGATTATATTCCCGTGAGATAAAGTTTCATCTCATCGACCCACCGCATGGCCTCTCACTTTCCCATAGTTAGATTCCAATTACCTTAATTCTAATAGCCACAAAAAAAAAAACCTTTCTAATCGGAAGGGCCTCTGAAATTCGGGAGTATCCCAGCAGCGGGCAGTCTGAGGTCTTCACACTCCACTCTCCGATCTCCAATCTCCAATCTCCCAGCTATAACAATTCATCAGGCCGTGAGTGATCCATCAAGTTGGCACATTAGGCGGCTAAACGATTTAATGTTTCTCTGGCAACCGAAAGACAAAGGGCACAGGGACTGGGCCCAGCAAGGTAGCCGCAGATACATTTCGCAGCTCCAGCTCCAGCTACATCTCAAGCGGTGTCTCTGCTCCCGCTTCCACTGGCCATGATGTGGCACCATTAATCACACAACACGAGCCGCTGCAGGATCCCGGCGGCTGCCAGGAGGGGAACAAATTGCAGCAAGTTGAGCGAATCCTAACCAATAATTATGACATTGCAGGAGTCGTGGCGTGATGGCAAATGATGATGTATATGAGAATGCTCCTCCTCCGCCCGGCCATATCTGTATCTATATCTCTTTCCCGCTGCCGGTCTTCAATCTGTGGCGGCTAATCAAGTCATCTTCTGGTCAGATGGCGATGCTGCGCCTTTTGTTTTGGCCCCCAGACGATTTATCTTAAGCATGTGTGAAAGTTGTGTCAGATTTATGAGCCTCTGTTGCCTCCCCCCAGTTGCCTTGGCTTCCCCGCAAGCGGAGCTCCTGCGGGGCAGCGACAAATGGGCCGCCTTAATGGGCGTTTAGCCGCGGTCACTGCAACTGTCCAGCCTCGCCTAATTAACGATGCCGATGTCGATTTCAAAGGCTTGATGTCTTAATTTCTTTATATTGCAAGACGGAAAATCGGTGTGAAGCTGGAAAGTGAATGTCAGTGGGAAAAGTCTTGATTCTATATCTAATTTCATCAGCAATTCGATCAGTTATGGCTTGTCAAAGACATGAAAAATTCAATACAAACCCCAGAGAAGTGGCTCTTAAAGAGTTTTTTAGTTTATTTAATTTTTAAATGATAAATATGATTATCAAGCAGTCATTGCATAAGAATTAAAACGAATGTAATGTAATCACCTGGATTGTATGGTTCTGAGGACTGACATATAAATAAAACCAAAACCTTTTCCCTCTTCCAGCATTCAACACAACCAGAACCAGGGACTCGGCTGCCGTAGCCGGCGGGCGGATGGCGCCGCCTCGCCCACGCCCTCGGACAGCTCCGACTCGGACATCTCGCTGGGCACTCATTCGCCGGTGCCCAGCAGCCTGCAGCTTCAGCACAGTCCGGGCAGCACCTCTAACGGAGCCAACGATCGCGAGGAGAGCCTCAGCGTGGACGATGACAAGCCGCGCGACCTGAGCGGCTCTCTGCCGCTGCCTCTTTCTCTGCCCCTGCCGCTGGCCTCGCCCACAAGCACGCCACCCCAATTGCCGGTGGGTGGTGGCTATGCAGGAGCTGGAGCAGGATCTGGTCCGGGAGGACCACTGTCTGCGGCCGGTTGCCTGCCGCCCTTCAAGCTGGACGCCGCGACCAGCCTGTTTAGTGCCGGCTGTTACCTGCAGAGCTTCAGTAACCTAAAAGAGATGTCCCAGCAGTTCCCCATCCAACCGATCGTCCTGCGCCCACACCCACAGCTGCCGCAGCCCCTGGCCCTGAACGGAGCCTCCGGCGGGCCACTGCATCATCCCGCCTACGCGGCCGCCTACAGTGTGGAGTGTGTGCCCGGCCACGGACCTCATCCGACACATCCGCAGCCGCCCAAGCTGAGGATCAACTCACCGGAGAAGCTCAACTCCACGGCGGTGGCCACGGCTGGCTCGGGTGGGGCAGGCGGAGGGCCTAACCATCACCACGAGGCCACCACCACCACCACCACGGGTTATCACCACAGCGGGCAGCTGCTGCTGCACCGACCCTTCTCCACGTCACCGGAGCTGAAGCACAGTGCCCCCGAGATCACATGATATCAGCGGGTCTGAGGAGGAGGAGGACTCCTCCGATCACCCCAATCCTAACTCCATAAGAACCCACCACCACCCCGAAGCACTAAGGCCCAGCTATTCAGATTGTTTCAATTGTATTTCTAAGTTAGCCGTAGTTAAGCGCAATCCCCGCGGCGGAGTTCGAGCAATATTCGATCCTGGCCACCGGACTCGTTTCCTATATCACGACCCCGATATTACCTATACCTATACCTATACCGTTATCCAGCAGCAGCAAAACGCAAGCGTCGCACACGCACACGCACTCTTCAAAGATAGCAATTTAAGCCGGATGGAAAGTGGGATTCCCCGATGCCGAGTTTTGGGATCCCAAAACTGAACTTGAATTCGAAACGTTTTCATTCTAATTTTTGTGTGTGTGTACGTATTTGTAAATAGAGTTTAAGTATGCAAATCATAGAGCTTACGTATACATTTAGATTGCAATAAAAGAAAAACAACCGAATGAACAGTTAAGAATTTGAATCATTATATAAAGTTGTGTTGTTTGTTTTTTTGGGATGGAATGGAATTGAAGAGAATTTTAATTGTTTTTAGAAAATATAAGCTCTGGAAAAGGTCATAATAAAATTTTAAAAAATAACAAGTGGAAGTGGGGAAATATTCTATAAAAGTAGCTAAAGATTCATTTTGTTTATTGGAGTTGTCTTGTTGTATCTCTATCCCTTTTTCTGCTGAGAAATTAAGAGGGGTTTAAGCTATGAAATGAAAAACAACATACTTAAATTGAAGTTAATTAGTAATTATATTCAGAAATGATCATTTTTATGGGAGAATCTATAAAATGTGTACAAAAACATATGATTTTCAAACACATCCTCTTTTCTTCAACTTCTTTAAACATATTTAGAGAGTCAAATAAAACTAAGTCTTAGATTAATATTTTGCCAAACTATAAAACTTTAATATCATAAATTCTGAAATACTTTTCCCAAATTCACTTTCAACAATCTCGCAGTAACAATTATAGTTTGTAACAAAATACCGGATTTCTTGCAACATTTCCTGCTGATATCTTCCTTTGTTGGCTATCATGTGCAGCTTTCTCTTGGGCAAATACAGACGACTAAGTAAATAGTCTGGGAATATGGCAACAGGATAGGGGAAATTTCCTTTCTCCTCGCCGATATATATGTATATTCCCAACTATAAGTATTCATCTGCTGCCACTAATGTTGTTCATCCTCGATCGCTGTTGATATTTTGAAATAAAATATCAATTTCTGTGTAAACATCAACAAGAGAGCCGGAGTCGGAGTCGGAGCCGGCAAGAAGTCACCCAACCAAGTCAAGTCCAAAGGGAAAGAACAACATCCACGTTGTGCGGTGGCTACCTCTCTCACTCTCCGCCCATACTCTAACCAGAACCAAAGATCCGAGAGCCCAGATCGGAGATCCGAGCTGATGGCGTCGGCGGATGGCGCCAACGATGACATGTCCGGCCTTGCCATGTCCTACTTGAGTGGTTTACTTAGCTGCCTTATGAAAATATCCAATGCTGTGGGCAAACACACGACTGCATCCACAGCCACCAAAACCGAAACCACAACCTCTCACCAAAAAAAAAAAAAAAAGCCGGGAGATGAAAAACTGACGCGTCACTGTCACTCACACAAATGCACCACATCATCGTCATTATGGGCTCTAAAGTCTCCGATGGGCCCTGGGAACAGACTGCGTTTATATATATATAAATATATATAACCATATATCGAGTATAGAATCATTCCAGCTTCTACACATTGAATAAAACAGTAGCAGAAATTGATTATATATAAAGTATTTTGGGGGAAAGTGTGGTAAGTATTAGAATTCTTGAGGATCAAATTATAAGAACTTGGTTCATTTTATAACCTGGCTAGTGGTATTCTAATATTTATATAAGGAAATATATGGAATCTGACCCCATAAAAAATATCCTAGAGCGAAACCATTTAAGAATAACAACTGTTTCTAAGGAACTTCTTTCTTTTAATTCACATATTTCTCCCAGTGCACTTACGATCTAATCTGGTGCCAGCTAGCGCCACAGACTCACTTGCCCGGATTGATGGGCCAAACGTGGATGGATGACGGACTGACTAGTTGGATAAGTGCTTCCTTTTTCCAACAAATTTTCGGCTCAAATTACAAGGTGAGAGACTGGGGGATAGGTGGATGACGGCGACCGAAGTGGGGGCCATGAGCATGTGCAAGTTGTCAGGTTGGCCGACAGTCAGCGAAAGAAACACTTGAAAGCGCAATTATCAGTAGCTGGGCACCGGGCGCATTAAGTATACGCCGCATTGTCAGTTAATTTTCACTGCAAGCATTTTCGGCCATTTCATGTTTTATTTTAGGGCCCTGCGAGTGGCATAGCATAGCGTCGCGTCGCCTGGCGTCGCCTCATCACCGTCATCATTATGCATGATGTGACACTTTTGACCCTGTTTCCCTGCAACCCTCCAATTTTCGGCGTCGTCGTCGTCGTCTGGGAGTTGTTATTTGGACTCGGATCCGGATTGGGCAGAGGTGATATTTGGTATTCGTCATTCGGTAGTGGAATCAATAGTCGATAGACAAGCGCCATATGTCTCCAATTAGCCGGTGCGACCAAGTAATTGATTTTCCACTTGGCAGCCTGGGTAAGGCGTCATTTTCGAGGGCCATTCACCAATTACAGAAGCACGAAAAAGGGCGCCAGAATGCCATTAAGCCAGAATGCATCACATCGCTCAACAGGGTGTGATATTGACTGACTGACTGGCTGATTGAGTGTCGCCCAATTGCTCCTGTTGTTGTTTCATCAAATTAATGCTCTGTCGCCAAATTTCTAACGCTTCGAGGGTTGGCCGCTCTCGTAATTATCAACGCCAAGCTCTCCTCGGACTTTGCCGGAACGGTGTTGTGGCTGCATTTACATATTTTACGAGACGACTCAATTAGGTTAACCACAAAATAAAAAGGCTCGGTGCAAAGGTTTACATATTTCAAATTGAATTTATGCACCCCTCCAGTCAAATGTTCTTCCTTTTTTGTCAATTTGTTCAGAGTTCCCTTCCTCATCGTCTCTCGTCTCTCCGGGCAAATTGCCATTCAACAACTCCCCCGAACAAAGAACACGCACAGTGGAATGCCAAGTCATTGTGGGTACCGAAAATATTTAGACATTTTTTGCGTGTTAGTAAGAAATTCACTTGAGAAAGGAGGTTATTAGTTGGCGTGGGTTGAGGTTGGGCTTAATGAGTAATACAAACAATTTGTATATACTTTTAAATGGGATTATTTATTTACTATTCACTCTTAACATATTTATTTTGTATGAAGTATCTTGCAAAACTTGATTTTATATATATTTTTTGTCTAATAATAAAGGAAACTCATAAGGAAACTATATATTAGAGCCTTCAGAATTCAGACTTGGGATTTTTAAGGACACTCTTTGCATAAACTTTGGTTACTCCTAACTTCTGTGGCTAAAGATGGAAATTTTAGGTACCTTTTAAATGATTCCTCAAGTTTATATTAAAAAATCATACTTAGTAATAAGCTTAAATTATACATTACTTATACAAATTTTCTCAGTAAACTTGTTTCTAGCATTTCTTATGTTTCTTACTAAGTTTTTTCTTAATTTCTTGCTCCACTGTAGCTAAAGCTTATTGACAAAGAGACAACAAACTCATACAGACAGCAAGCGTTTACCACAATATAAAACATTTAACGTGCACATCTTTAAATCTTTTGACTGACATTTGCTCACTTTTTCAACGGGGGGGTTGATGAACAGCCGACGTTGGCTGGCGAGTGGGAGGGATCTGAGAACAGGGATCAGGGAACTGGGAACTGAGAACTGGGAACTCGGAGCCGGGGACAAACGAACCCCATCATTAAGTGCGTAAATGTACTGTAAATAGACAAACGCGCTTTGAATAAAATTCTGGCAAAAGAGTTGCATTGTTGTCGGCCTTTCGTGTGGGTGGAGATGCTATAAAATGGGTGGTACGATGGTTGGGCGGCAGCGGATGAGCAATGCAAATTCCCTGAACAAACAACAGGCCCAAAACCGAGAAAAGCCCATCTGTGCCCATCTGCTCAGACAATTGCGAACAGTCAACAAGGCGAATCAATAAATTCAACTTTATTATGATAATTTGTCAAAGGCAGAGTACACAGGAAGAAAAACTTACTAAACTTGACTAGTTAAAATAACATTTGGAGTAAATAAAATACATAAAAAGGTGAACATTATTTAAATAATCTTTTTCTTATGTGAACTTTTTAAATTACTGTTATTTTTAATTTAATAAATAGTCTCAGAATGTTCAGTGTATCTGTTAGATGTTAAAGAGAATCGGTTTGTTGGTTGTGGCTAAAGTTTGTCAAAATATTTGCAGCATTAAATGAGCAAGGCAAACACTTCACACATGCTCAGACCTTAACCCTTTTCACTTGTGATGATGGGTGCTCTCCACTAGCTTCCAGACTCCCAGACCTTCTCCCACCACCCAGACCGTGGGCGTGGCTGTGGGGCATTTGAGGACGAGGACAACGAGTAGAACAAGCTATACGGAGGACTCTTCACGGCTTCATTAACGAAATCCACTGGCTTCGGTTGCGGAATAACCTGACACTCGTACTAATTGTCGTCCTGGCATCCAAATGAAAGATGAGTCGCTGTCTCCGTCGCTTTCCCTTTTGTGTCTCTAATGAGATTTGTCCCGAACCATCGATATATACATACCTTTACATGCCCTTTTATATACCTCGATGTCTCGCTGGAAAGGGGGGCGTCGGATTCGTATTCGGAATGGGAATCAGAATCGTGTTCGGGCGAAAGGTGCACATTGGACAAAAGGAGGCGTCGATGCGTAATTCATAAGAGCATTGAGAAGGCATCATCCGGACGGAGTGCCCGGGTCTCTATCGAGATGATGTCTTCATCCTGGCAAGATGGGCGTGCCCATATTGTGGTCGTGTCTCGGTGCTAAAGAGCCTCGCCTCCACTGCGGTCTGGAGATCCCTTGCCCCTGTACCTTGGCCTCGGATTCGGATTCGGATTAACAAAAGCACTCAGCCAACTGATTCTGATTCTGAAAACATTTCCGCTGGCATTGTTATTGTTGTCCTAGCCCACCGACCGCATGGATTTGGAGATTTTGGAAACGGATTAGAGAATCAGGGAATCAGAGGAGCGGGAATGCATTAACCGTTCTGCTCTCCTCTGCTCATAATATTCATGAGCCTGGGTAACAGCCAGGGCAGATTTTCCAGGCGATTACTGAGACTCTGTGTAAACGGTTTTCGCCCCGATAGCATCGCTTAAATGATGGCTGCCGAAATGTGTTCCATCTTAGGTTGCATCTCTCCTTGTTTTCCTAGAGCGATGACTTGGTTTTAAATATATAAGATCATATTCCGTTAGGGACTTAAACTAGTAATTTTTAATGGGAAAAATGTTAAGTGATGGCTTACATTTTAAAGAGTATTCAGAGTTAAGAGGGGGACAATATTATATTTTATTACAGTATTCTTCGTACTATACCTTATCAGTAGAACCTCTTCCACAGCCTCACAAATTATCAATTTACTTAAACCTAATTATTCCACCATTTCCTTCTATATTCCTACTTCCCAGCCATCGTAAAACCCTCAATAGATGCTTTTGCAATTGTAAAACTTAATTCGAAGTGCATTAACTTAATCGGCCAATGGCCGCCTTCATTTGAGCTAATTAAACTGAATTGCTATTCCAATTTTCCACTTGCATTCAAAGACTAGCCCCTGGGACCATCATCATCATCTCATCCGGAGACGGTTGGAAAATTGAAAATTGGGGCTGTGGCTGGCCAAGTGAGCTTTTCCATTGAAATCATCTCTCTCTCTGCTCGCACAATGCATTGTGCGGAGATTGAAAAATCGTATTGAATTACTGAAACAAAAGTGAAATAGGGAAACTAGACACACAAGAAAACACAAGTAACAGGAACGGGGCTGGATGGTTGGGAAAATTGAAGTTAAATCAAAATCCATAATGTTGCGGGGCTATGCCATTGTCTTCGCCAGCGAATCCCGATTGAATTATGAATTAATAAAGATGTTTTGCCCGCAGGCCAGATTTGGGTTACGCCGCCGCTTGGGCCAAAAGACAAAAAGGGCAGGTCAACCCAAGTCCAACCCCTATGGAAAAGTGAGTTTTTGGCTTTTTGGATTTTCGGATTTTGGCAAAACACGCACACGAACTTCCAGCAAAAACAACAACGAGAACAACAGTTCCCGGATATGTGTGTGTAACTTGAGGATGCACTTTTTGCCGCCGCCCCTTCGCTTATTGAAAGATAATTGGGTTCAGGGCGATGAGCAGGGCCGGATCTGAGCAACCAGACAAGCGTAAAGTTCACCCAAACTCGCAATTCAATTGAGATTCAAATTCACTTACCCCAACCCCAAACCCAACACGGAGTCGGAATCGACTTCTAATATTTCAGCTGCCCGAACTGACACATCACCACCATCATCGGCGTTGTAACGCCCTCATCCCATACCAATCGCAATCCCAATCCCTCATGGAGTCGGGGTTCCACTCCCCGCGCTTTATGACGTGTAAATGTTATCTCTTTTACAAATTAAGCCCCAGAACACTTTCCCCCTCCCCATGGATTCATGGCCTTGTGGCGGATTTTCATCTATGGGCTCTCACCCTCTCCACCTTCCACCCTCAACAAAAAATGCCCAACAATTAAATGTAATTTGAACTTACTGACATCAGCGTGTGTGTGTTGTGTGTGATGAGATCGCCCAGAAGGGGATAGATAATATTTGATAATTATTTTGTACAGATTGAAGCTTTAAATTGGTGGATAAATAAGATAATTGCTCGGAACCATGATTCGAATTGTCAATAATATTTATATTATTACTTTTTTTTTGTAGTCTAATCTGTGTATTGTATAATTTAAGATTTAAATAAATAAGTAACAAATAAATAATATAAAAAACCACATAAAAACTTTTATAACTAAACTAAAACCAACATTTTCTACTGTATCTCTAAGTTTCTCTTATACTCTATCGGATATCAACTTAAGGCTCAAGATTATAATAACCTATGCTCTCCTCCATCGATGTATCGAATGTCACATAAAGCCTCATTGAGATTTTTAATAATTTGTTAGGCAAATCTCCTTCGAATTGACCTACCTCTGCGCAGTGTCAGCTTTAAATCGGTTTAGGTTCAGGGGCCGCACACAATCGCCCACACATGGACTCGCATCGCGGAGATATACTCAAATCCAGACAGCCGAGAGCGATGCAGATGCCAATGGAGAACATGATCCCAGCCAGCGTTGACCACAAAGGGGTCAGGGAATCGTGCTAGTGAATTGGTAAGCTTTGCACTGAACAAAATATATATTAGTTCTTAACTTAACTTTAAAGCATTTTGTTATGATAGAAACAATTTTTATTATTACTTTCATTAAAGAATTTCGTCTACTTTTTCTTAATATCTATTTTATACAAATCTGAAATAGTTTAAAATATAAATTCTTTTCGTTGAGCATCGCATTTCTAAAATCTAAAGTAGGGAAAGTAATACTATCCTTAGTTTTTACATGTTTTCAGGAATGTTTAATATTTCAAATATGGTTTATAAGTGAATTCCTACAATATTTAACCTATATCCTGCATTAAATTCTATAACAAATACTTATTTTTGTACTTTTACTTAGATCTCCCTCAGTGACGTCATCGATCGTTTGGCATTTTTGAAAATCTTTGCCTTTGTCTCACCGATCTCAAACCTTATTTTGGAATACATCTGCATATAGCAGGCATGTGTTTGTGGGCATATAGCACGACACGAATGCCAAATCGGCTTAAGGGCAAGTTATCGGCATTTGAAAATAAAAACACGCGCATTATCGACACCAAACAGAACAGAAGGTTGATATGTGGAAGAGCACTGCAAAAAAAAAAACAGATATTTCTGAACCAAATTGGGTTCAGTTCTTCAGAAACTGAAAATGATCTGATCTGATAATGAATGTTTATCTTTCGAAATTTGAGTATAAGCTAGCTTGCTTATTACATATTTTGAATAGATTTTAGGAAGCTCATCCTAGAAATTAGAGTCTTACTTAAAAACACAATATATTTCATTAAAACCTTTGTTTTAAAATAGGAAAAAAATGTCTTATTTGCGTGTGTAGATCATGGAATACATGGTATATTCTTATATAAAAATAACTAATTTCAATGCTTAAAATGTAAAATTTCCTAAACGAACTCATCAATCATAGCCTCAAGTATACTTCCCAAATTGTACCAAAAAAGACAACCATTCATTTTTCTCTGTGTAACAGCAACTGCAATGCTTCTGGCTGGAATATACGAGGATGAGGATGTCAAAGCCATCGTCTGTCTGGCTGTCAATGCGTTTTCCATTTGTCGCCTCTAATGACACACATATTTAGGTGTTAATCGCCTCATTGGAACGCTGGCAGCGGATTTGCTCGCATTGTTGTCCGTCCAGCGGTTGGGTTCGGAGTCGGGGATCTGTTATTTCGGTTCAGGGATTGAGACGGAGATCTGGGTTTCGCAGGGTAAATATTGATGCTGCGATTATGACTATTGATGCGTTCACAATGGACTTTGCCGAGCATTATCCTTTGGCCGATCAGCCAGCTAGATCTCCCTGAGTCTCCGTCTCCGTCTCTGTTTCTCCACTATCCTCCTCCGGCGATTAGTGGTGATTCCAGCCGGGGCTTCAGTCAATCGTATTTTGGCTTTATGGCACATTATCCCCTAAATCGCAAACAAAACTGCAAACAAATTGCCGCAAAGCGAGAGTGTATGGATATACTCTGGATCGGGCCAAGCGGAGCATATGCTCGGAATCCGGATCGGCGGCATCCTTCGGTAGGGTATTAGGGAAATTGCCAAATGGCTTCAGTGGCGGAGGAAGTGAGCTGCCAATGATACGATACCTCCGATGCTCGCTCTCTGTCCAACTGATCCGTTCCTGCAAGCCAACTTTGGGGTTGTTAAATCCCCGATCGTGTTAGGGGTGTTTGCTAAATTAGTTCGGTATTTATATTTACTTTTTAATATAAATGGTGAGTATGAAATACCAATATTATATATGTTTGATAGAACATCTGTCATGTTGTCAGAGTTTTTTAAGGAAGTGGTTTAAAATGTACAAAGTAAATATTAAATAAGATATTAGATAAATTAATAGAATTATTAATATTAATTTAAGATTTTTAATTTGTTTCTATTATTCGTTTGATTCGAAAAGTTTAATTTAAAACATTTTGATTCTATTATAATAAAAATTAAACTCGGATTTTATAGTTTGATAACATTTTTTATGATTAAGAAACATGTTTTAATTTAGCTACATATATCTGCAAATTTATAATTCGCAAAGAACGATTAATTAAAGAACGAGTAAGTAATTTTCTTTTTATTTTAGGGCTTAAAATCATTTAATATTAAAATAATCTATTTTATAGTACAATTTATTTATTTCCTCTTAAAGCTTTTCACCAAGATCTTTACAAGATTTTCTTTAAAAGTTCTTAAAAGAATTTTGATTTAAAGAAGCAAGTATTATGTAACAAAAATAGCTAATTATCCAACAGAAAATCCATAACAACACCAAAATGAAGCCGAAAAAAATGTACATATTCCAGTTATATAGATAATTCCCACACTTAGGCGACACATATGGTTGGCGTTACATCCGAACGCCCCTGGGCCAATATGAACATTCACACTCACAGATATATACCATACATACAGACACAATCCCGACGAGGGTTTGACAATTATTTTTATAGCCATCGTCGTCGCCTCTTCTTTTAATTGAAGTATATGTTAAGCTGTTATATATACATATATATGGTTGTCTGTGCAAACGCTGATCATGTGACGACCTCGCATATTGTTCTTTTCTGAAAGACAAAAAAACAAAACTCAGTTTCATTCATCTTTTTGGTAATCAACCCCCGTCAGCCAGACATTGATGTACATAAAAGCATGATTTTGTAGGAACTATACTCACGGCGCCGGCGTTGAAATATTCATAGAGAAATCATTACATTTCCAACCACTGTGCAGCTGTACGAGTTTTGATTGGACAATTTACAGTTAGCCAATCGGAGCAAAGCATGTTAACAGCCACTTAACAGAGTAGCACTGCTTGCACACGAACTGCTTTAAAAGCAAGCTGTAAAACTAATGCTCCTGCTTGTATTTACACAGAAAGAAATACTCTCAAGTTTGTTTGTTTTAAACCATTTTTATTTCTAAAAAATTAACATGCCTTTTTGTTGTTGTTGTTTGTAGCTAGAATTATAATCACTAATTAAGTAAATGTTTTGTTTCTGTTCTTAATCCATTTGGTGTTTTCCTTCTTGTTTTTTTTTTTTAATCTTTCGTTTCTGTTATCGCTTTAATTCTATTAAAATTTAACATGAAAGTTCAGCTAAAAATTGCTCAATTGTTACATTCAACGTTATACGCCTTGTTTTTGTTTTGTTTTTTGTTTGATTTAGAAATGGATTGATTCCGTATAACAGTTTGAGGCGCTAGAGTTTATTAACAAAGTTTTTCTCTTTTTTTTTTATGTGTATATGATGCGTGTTTATGCGTATAAAAACAAAAACAAAATTACGCCCTAAGTGTATTACCGAGTAAGTAAGTAAGTAAGTGGTAAATATATATTAACTGAACACAACAAACCATTTTTACACGCTTGAATTGGCTAGATAGAGCAAATAAGGGCTGGGGTCGGTGATTACCATAACTAATTATTTATTTAATAAGTAGTAATTAGAACAAGGTCTGGGAACGTAATGTACATAATGTGCAAATATGTGCTGCCAACGGGGGGGGATGAACAACAAAATGATATTAACAAAAAAAAACCTTCGACTAAGAATTAAAGCTACCTAAAAAGTACAGATCAATAACAACCAAAGATGATGTGGAAGAAGAGAAATTAAGGGGGGGAATACCCTAAGAACAATGTGTGTCGCTTCCTCTGTTCTGCTGCTACTTTTTACATACGTAATTAATGGATACAAGTGTGTTGTTACTTTCGCTATCAGCCCTAGAATTTTGTTTTGTGAACATCATGGACGGATGTTAATCTGAAGTAAAAATTTTTTTTTGGCGCACAGTGGCGCCTTGCTGGCTCTGCATACAACCCGTGACGTCAGCAAAGGGGGTTAGGGGGGCACGGGGGATCCAAGGAATAGAGGGGGGAAAGGGCACTTGTCGCAATTTTGATTTACACTAAAGTTAACTATACTATATAATCAACAGCTCCTCTAAAGTCGTCGTCCAGTTTTGCTTTGTTTTTGTTTTGTTTTTGTACAGTGATCGCTCGCATCATCATCATCATCTTCATCGCAGATGTGTAGATATCAGTAATATATATGTATGTAATGCTATATCATAGGCATCTAAGGCATAGTTCTTGTCTAAACGATAAAGTTCCCTTTACTCATATTTCGATTTACCAATTATTTACAACAATTTCGTATCACAATTGTAATTTTTGCATGTTTTTGTCTTGCTTGTTTTATGTTTTCCTTGTTGTTTCCTTCTCTTGTTTTTGTTTCTGTAAAATTTTCCTATGCTTCGCTCTCTGTGTTGTATGCAAACTGACGAGCAGCACTGTGCGAATATTCGAAAGGTTTTGCCCACAAAATGGGGGGAGTTTCCCCAGTGTGTGTGTTATTGTGTTAGATATAAGTTCGAATTGAAACTAGGATCTATGTATGTGAAAGGTACGAGTATATAATAATTGAATTCATAATTCGATAACCTCTTGCTAAGCTAAAAGAATCTGTATCTGTGTATCTGTATCTCGGTGATTTGAAATCGTTTGAAAAGAGCTCTCGAAAGTATGCTAGCATTCTTTTGAGCGCCTTTTAAAACGATTTCTCTGTGAGGGAGAGAGAGTGTTTATAACCTGGCTATATATTCTTGTATATGTAACATTCGCTTGTATATAGATATAGCTTCTCGCTTTATATCCGCTTTAAAGCGTATAATTAAACTTGCTGCCTTGTCGCATTAAACTCTGAAAACATAACAAATTTAAAGCCCTTCGCTGAAACTGTATAGGCGTATATATATACTATATATATCAGATGTATCTATGTGTGGTGTGTGTGTGTTGTGGGGGGGTATAGGGAAGGGTATAGGGTCTCTAAAACCATAAACTGCCACCTTTGAGGCGAGCCTTAGCTAATATATATGTATGTATAATGCACTAAAACCGACTTAAGCGGACTTACCAACGTAAGTTGGTTGCTGGTTGCTGGGCCAGTTGAACCGGCTGGAAATTATTGCCAAGTACTTAAGGACTAAACTACGAACCTAAGGCATAATAAGACTACATAACAGGGTTCTCTCCTTTGCTCCGTTCTCTCTCCGGGAAGGTATTTACGTCCATCGACTCGTTAAGGGATTAGGTAACTACGTAGCTCTCATTTGATCTTTCGTACTCTCTGCATGCAGATCATAAAAATATGATGAGTTATCTCTAACTAACTATATATATATACATATATATGTGTGTGTATATATATGTAACGTAGACGTAAGTGTAAACGTAGAACTAGATGGTAAGTGTATAATTTGCTCTGAGCTTAACTGTGTGCCTGGTTGTGGAAAATCTCTCAAAATTGAGCTAAGTAAATATTCTGAATCTGCTGAATCCGCTGATTCGCTGGGGATGCATTGTCCCCGAGCTCCTCACGTCTCCGGATCCTCATCCGGATCCTGGGCCGGCAAGCTGGCTATCCCTCCTCCAACTCCTACTTGCCGGCCAACTGTGGCTGCTATTGGTGGCTCTTGCTGAGCAGGTGCGCATTGAACTCGTAGACATTGTTCATCTGCTCGCCGCAGATGTTGCATCGCCACGGATTGCTCTCGCAGTGGCAGCCCTTGTGCAGGAAGTACAGCGTCTCGTCGGGGAACTCGATCCCGCAGAAGTGGCAGGTGAGGATTAGCTTGCGGTTAAGCATTAAATCGCCATCCTGGCCGGTCGACGTGATCGTTCCATTGCAGATGGGCGTCGAGTTGGCGCCGTTGCTGGCATTCGTAGTCGCAGGCGCTGGCGGTCCACCGCCGCCACCTCCTGCTCCGGCACCACCAGTGCCGCCATTTACCCCGGCAGAACCTGTTCCGGAGCCATTGCTAAGGCTGTTGGACAGCACGCTATTGTTGTTGTTGCTACTCTCCAATGGTGTGGCGTTCCGGGTGATTCGGTTGTTGGCCTTGGCGCAGATGCGTCGCTTAAGATCCTCCCGCAGAAGTGACTTCAGTGGCGAGACCTGGTTGGTATTAAATTTATTAATATTATTTGATTTAATATTATTTATATTAAGGGCAAACCTTGATCAGTGAGGTGATTCTGTTGTTGTTGCTGCTGCTGTTGGTGTTGTTGTTGGAAGCCTGCTCGGTGTCGCTGCTGGGATCACTGCCATTCATCAGATCCTTCTTGTCCACATCCTCGGCCATGGGCTCCTTTTGTAAAAAGACAAAAATTATAAAAATTAATTACAATAAATGGTGATTTTTAAAAAGATAAAGAGCCAGCATTCTGACATAGAGATGGACTTTCCTTGCCTTTATTTAGTTACTATAATAATAAATATTTAATAAAAATAGTTAAATCCTTTGTTTTTTCCTAGAAATCTTTAAATATTAAATTACTAACAAATTCCTACCAAAACTATTATAATAATCATACCAAAATACCCAAAATGAAATACTTTTGAGTTTGTGAAATTAACCCTCAACTTCATTTTAGGTCAAGATCAAGCGCTGAATCAAACACCAGCATATTGTATATGTAAAGACCTGGATCTCTCGGAAAGCCATAAAGCCACCTCGACCAAATTAGGTATGCAATCTTTTGTGATGCACAACAGGTTTTTGAAAATATTGTTCCGCCTTCGCATGTGGATAGAGCGGATGGAGAGGCAATATTTTATGACTCGGGCTCCCATATAACTCCAAATTAGCGTAGGTCTGAAGTACTAAGTATAAATTGCATTGGATATTAGAAATTCACTTTGAAGTTCTTAAGAAAAATGATATATGCAGATTTGGCTTTAATGTAGCCCACAATTCAAATGTAATAGTGGGCGAAAAGTGGTCCAATTAGTTATAGTTTAGATTATAAAACCAGAGCCATTATTACACTGAGTAACATAAGAATTTCACTAGATGAGGGGTTATATTAATATTTAATATATTTTTTTCCTCACTATTTAAATATCTTGGACGGATAAAGTATTTGAAAAGAAAATGTTGTTGTCTATTTGAGAGCTAACACTAACAGCAAGCCGTACCGCCCGTCAAGTCTTTTTCGCATCGGTAAAACAAGAACTGATTTTAGAAAATCAATTAAAAAATTAGAGAAGACACTACAACTGTGTTTTCCTGCTCTTTGCAGCACATTATTATTCTGGTATATTATTCTGGTCTATTATTGGATATCTCTAAAATCTTATAAATAGTATATTCAAGTTCTTTACTTATCGCCCCGATTTCCATCCAAAACTCACCTGTTTGATGGGTATCAAACTGATCGACGGCGTTATGTGATTCTCGTGGAGATGATGGTGGTGCGGATGCGGATGCTGGTGGTGCGGATGTGGATGGTGGTGGCTCTTGAGACTCGCACTCAGGCTGGAGGCTGTGGTGCTGGACGTGATGGGTGTGGCCTTTGTGTTGCAATCCATGGGTAACTCCACTGGCGATTGCATGATCAGAGCGCGATCTTTTACCTTCTCGCCATTGGACTCGACACCATTTCCATTGCTAATCGAGCTGCTGTTGCTGTTGTTGTTATTATTATTATTGCTGCTGCAGTTGTTGTTGTTGCTCCCGCTAATGTTGTTGTTATTGTTGGTAACACAGTTGTTATTGTTGTTGTTGTTGTTTGCCTGTAATGCAGATTCACGCCAAACGCAAATCAGCTGTGTTATTTTATTGTAAGCGAGGGGAATTTAGAAAATAAGAAGAGGGAAAGGAAGTGCTACGGGAGAGGTCAAAATAATAGCAACTACTTTTAAATTTTATTTAAGCGTACATGTTTTAAAATAGTTTTTTCATAAAAAACCAGTCATATTTATTTGAAACACAAAACAAATTTTCATTTCGGTGCTATTATTTTGACCCTAGCTGTACCCTTGGACACTTACATTGAAAAGCTCCGTATTGCCGCTCTCGCCCAGCGTCGAGATCTCCACATGCGGCGTGAGGAAGTGCATCGGGGGCGTGGCGTTCTCCAGGGATCGCATCGATTCCCCGCTGTCGCTGGCCGGCGGCGCCACCTGAGGCGGCTGATGCTGCTGCTGCTGTTGCTGGGATTGAGATTGCACCGGTACAGGACTGAGTCCAGGCGGAACGTAACTAGCCGCTGCTGCTGCTGCTGCCGCCGAGGCCTGAGATTCCAGAGCCAAGAGCAGGGAGGAGGTGCCGCCCGGTCCGGGGTTGTCCAGATCGATGCCGTGTCGGTTGAAGAAGTGGATCCGCAGGGACTTCATTGAGCCGGCCCGGTAGCTACACAGCGGACACGTCTTCACCAGGTCGTGCTGGCCCACATGCTCGTTCTGGAAGTGGGCACGCATCGCGATCTGGCGCTGGAAGCCCCTGTTGCAGATCGGGCAGTGGTACGGCAGCGTCTTCGTGTGCGTGGTAAAGTGCTCCGCCAAGTGGTCCTTGCGGAAGAATCGCTTCTGGCAGACCCGGCACTCGTACGGCTTCACGCCTGTGTGTCGCATCTTGTGGCGTCGCATGTTGGCGCCGTTGGAGAACTTCATGTTGCAGACGTCACACTCAAAGACCTTGCGGGAGCTGCTGTTGCTGCCCCCACCGCTGCCGCCGCCTCCGCCACCGCTATTGCCCGCTGGCGAGGAGCTAGCCGAAGAGCTGGATCCGTTGCCCGTTTCCCCCTTGACGCCACCCTCCATGTGACCCAGGCTCATGTTCTCCGGCTCTTCGCCTCGTAGGTCCTCGCTCTTGAGGCGCGCCGCCACAGCAGCCGCCGCCGCCTGACCCGCCAGGCACTGGACGACATGGAGCAGCAGGGAGGCACGTGAGCTGGTCTCAAAGCTGTCGCAACGCTCGCATCGAAACGTCATGGGCGGCGAGTGCGGCCCGGTGCTGAGATTCGTGGGCGTGGGCGTCGGCGAGCGGGGCTCCTGTAGTTCCGACTCCGAAGCGGAGGCGGACGAGGCCGCCTCCTTGAGGCTGCGCAGCGCCATCGCGTTGTGGTGAAGCAGGGCCGCCGTAGTGGGCGTCATGTCCACAATGATGCCTCCACCAACGGTCGGGCTGGTGTCCTTCAAGGCCAGCTCCATACTGCTGGCCGACGTGCTGAGAGTTTCGGCCATCTGCAATGCAAAGATTAAATTCTTTCTTTAGTCTTGAGATGGGAATATGCACTTGAAAATTACAGCGAAATTTAGGACAGACATTAAAGATTTATAGAGATTTTAGAAGCTTAAACTCGAAGATTACTTAAAACCTAATTTTGAAAATGGAAATTGGTATATATTTCAGGATCTTAACACTGATATTTTCCCTCGGTGTAATAGAGATTAGACCAGGCCACGCCCGAAAATCGATGACAACTTGTGGTTGCCTTTTTTTCTATTATTTATTTTATTTTCCTTTATTTTTTGTGTTTCGTATTTTGCAGTCGGTTTTTGGCATTTCAAGTGCTTCCAACAAACCAGAGACCCAAGCCCAAACTCAGAGTTCGACTGTAATAAGCCAAATTGGTGTCAGCGTCGCAGCTTCGTGGGGGCAGGCTGGAGGGAGGGGAACCTGTGCCAAGAACCAAACCACCGACCAACAGCAACAGCACCAGCACAGTAACAACAACGACCATTTTTGGGCGGCCTTGTTGTTGTTTCTGGCCGTTGACGTTGACTTCGTGCTATGAAAATACCAAAGTTATTGGGGCCAATTACTGGTCTTGCAGGTGGGCAATCATTTGGACACCCAAGCACAAACACACAAGCAAACACGTTCAAACATCGTCACAGAGATATATGGGAATAAGGGGAAAGGGGAGATCGGGTAGGCAGGAGGTGAGAGCATACACACCAACGAAATTAGAACTACAACAACTGCTTCATCGTCACTGGCCAAATCATTCAAAAGTTTGTGGCAAACACACAATGGCCACCAACTGACATTTGGCAGAGAAGATATAAGGCTGATTAGGCCAAACTCAAACATCGTTTATTTTTATTTGTAGAAAACAATTTTAGATGCGAATAGGTACAAATATAGAATGTGAAATATTTGCTTATACTATAATTATTTTAAAATTTGAGTGTATCTTAGTAAAGGAAATAATCCCACTAAAACTAGAATCTTTTGCAAGATCAACATCAAACGTATCTCTAATAAGGTATTTAAAGATATCAAAGACTAAAAAAATGTGTATCATTGTAGTATAATAAATACAATCCGACTTTTAATTAATAAACATAGAAAATATAAGTCTAAGCCTTTCCTTAAAACCACATAATATTAATGGAGAAATAGTCGAAAATATACCTCAAATTACGTAGCCGACTAGTGGAACAGCGGAACTTATTGGTTCTGAAATGTCATCACATTAGATCCACTTGAGTCACCTACTTTCTTTAAAAATGAGACAAGCTCAACACTGGCTTAAAATAGAGCTTAAGTTAAGAGAGTTATTTATTTATAATTAGACAAAACATTTAAAAGTCCTAGTACATGTAAAGTCAATTAATTTTGGAGTATGATTTAAGACTCAAATCAGACTCCCCGACAATAATTTCATTTTGAGAAGCCTCGCATTCCGTCCCATTGTGCAATATTGACTTACTGACGCATGTCACCGTCTCGTCGTCTGGTCGGGGTTTTGGCAATAGGTCAGATGTGGCTCAGATGTGCTCGTGGATGGAATAGACTGGCAGCAAGGCACCGAGGTGAAGATAGAGGAGACACATGTCAGGTGCGGATGTGTTGGGCTGCAGTGTGAGTGTATATCGGGCAGCGTATAAATCATCATCCATAATCAACCGAATGGAGCTGGCCAAGCTCTTCTCGCGGCTAATTTAAGCCGACCTTGGATGCTGTCTGTGCATTAGCATTAGCCAGATCACAAAAGCCAAGAGCCAAGAGCTAAGAGCTCAGAGCCAAGAGCCATGGGGGACGACCTCAGCCCCAACCAGCTTCCCTGGGCCCACATACATACATATGTGTGTGAATTTGATATATGTGCATTTCGGGCCAGGTCAGCTTCGAGCTATGAAAAATGAATGTGTGTCGTAGGCCTATTTTGGACGCATCTACATAATTACAAATTCACTTTTTCGATGCGAACGGGTTTCGGTTTTGAGTACAAAACTTCTTTTGCTTTGGCATCCCAGGCCACTTAAATGTTGTAAACCTGTAAACATTAGCGGCGAGCACAAAACCCAAAAAAAAAACGAAAAGCAAAAAACTGAAGCGCTGAAAAAACGCACAAAAAGTCGGTTTGCATTTTCAGTAATTATGAGGCGCTGTTGGCTTTGGCATTATAAATGCCATAGTTGCCAACCCAATGGAGTCATTGGGTCAAGTTTTAGAGTGCAACTGGGTCAGGCTTTATCATTATTATCATTATCACCACCAGCCCCACCATCATCATCATCACCATCATCGTAATCTCTGGCCAAGCGGTGGCCAACATACGACCCAACTTGTCCGGGCTTTTGGGTCTCCCAGTCTCGGGTCTTTGGGGTGTCCCGCATTTTCACTTGCTCGCCGGCCCGCTGTTCCCAATTCGAAGCCCCGAAAGCCGAACGAATATATATAAAAGAAGAAAATATATAAAGCTTCGCTTGGGCTCTGAGCCGCTCTGGAAACGAGAGAAATGGTAGGAGAAATGCGAAATGGGAGCACACACACCACACACACACCGCACACACAGAAGTGAGCGACATAATTGGAGCGCCCCGAGAGCCCTTAATGATGTCGCACACTGTCCGCCGGACCAAGCTAAAAGGTGCACGCCACCGACCAAGTGGGCCGCCAATTTTTGAGCAATTAAATAAATAATGTTTATAAAGCAGTGATTGCAGTCATTGATTAATTGATTTTAAATGGAAGGCGACGAAGCTTTTTTATTTTATTTTTTTAAGATGACAAGATAATAAAAATGTAATATAACAATTTATCAAATAATTGTTCCTCTTAGATTGACTTATTGACTGATTATAAACCACTCTGCTTTGGTCTACAGGGTAAATTTTAAAAAGTTTATAATTGGATATTTAAATTGTTTAAAATTAAAATTTACTTCTGAACTTGTTTAACCCCATAAAGTAAATAGATTAATATTTAATATTTTCAACAATTATTAACAAGCTTTGAGCCACTGTGCGGTTGTTCGGAGACTAAAGGGAATTATGTTCAGCTGAATATGAAAAATTGTAAAAGGCTTAGTTAAATTATTTTTTAGCAAAAACTGCCAAAAAGCCCATTAAAACAATTTAACAAATTTGATTAAGGTTTTATTGATTATCCGTGATATCTGTGAATAGTGTCGCAAAAATGAACTGTAAAGTTTTCAAAATTTAATTTACAAATTTTTGTCAATTTTAAAACTTGTTCTTATAAGAATTCCATTAAAAACTTTAGAATATTTTGAAAATATTTAATTTATGAGCTCATGAATTTCGACCCACTGTTCCTAAATTTGTAGGCCAAATAGGTTCCACACTTTTCAAAGGGTTTCTTAATTTCTAGGAAAGGATTATTTCCATTCAAATTTGATATAGTATTTCGACCAACTGTGCTTGTTGGGCTTGTAGGCCAAATGAGTCTTTTCCATAGCCTTAGGCCGCCGCGCACGATTCCCATTCAAATTCAAATTGAAATCAAAAGCTAGTTTATTAGCATTGCATTGACCAGTGATGTTATGGTTGCTGTTGTTGCTTGGAAGTTAACAAAAAAAAAACGGAATGGGAGTCGGAATTGGAATTGGAATCGTCTGCGGATTGGAAGTGGAACTGGAAGTGGAGTCGCATCTTTTTGAAGGCGACTCACTTTCGAGGCTGGATCTTCATGCAAAATAGACCATATAACACTCACACACACACACTCGCGTTTGACCTTAGCAGCAATTTTTACCGGTTTTCCAGCGTGGGAGCGGTAAGGGGAAGGGAGACTAGAGCGAGAGGGGGAACACAAATGAGTCAGTCGGTCGATGGGGAGTTGTTGTTGCTACTGTTTGGTAGCAAATCAATGAGCCATTCCCAAATGTATCCCCCAAAAAACCAACAACAACAAACAACAGTAACATGTGCGTCGAAATGAGAACAAGAACAGAACGAAAAGAGAGATGGGAGAGGTGAGAGAGAAACCACTTTCCATGGTGACATACTTATGCTACGTGCTCTTTTGCTACTTTTGCCGCTGCTGCAACAACAACAACAGGAAAGTCGCCGCCGCGACTCCCATAATAGAAAGTGGAACAGGAATTTCCCCCCCATCAATGCCAGAGAGCACGGCACGGCGCACAGCGATGATTTCATTTTGGCCTGGCCTGCCTGCACTCATTGCGAAACACTTGCCACGGCCAACAGCAGCAGCAACAACAACAACACCGAGGCGGCATCGAGAAAATCAAGAAAGAAACGGGCGAAAAAAAAGTGGGGGCAAAAAAATAGTTCAGTGGGAGCCGAAAAGCAGCTGAGCGGCAAAACCGAAAAAGAGAGAGCAGTGGAGCTCCTCTCTGTATACAACTCTCTATGCGGCCGCTCTCTCTTTTCTTGGAGCCCAGCGCATGTCCCGTTTTTGTTTATGGTTCTCACTCCCGCTCTCTCCCCCCATTGTTGTTGCAAGTGCATGCTTTTCACGCCTGCTGCTTTTGTTGTTGCCTGCTGCTGCTGGTGTTTCTGCTCTCACTGCAATTGCCATTGCAATTTTGTTGCATTAGGCGCGTGAATTAATTTCTAATTGATGGCACCGCCAACGACCATGCTCTGCCCCACTTCCGATTCCCAGAGAGTCGAGTCGGCTGCCCGCTCTGCTCTCTTTGGTAAGTGGCTAGCGTATAATTTTTGTTGTGTTGACCTAATTATACGCTCATTTTGATTCACTTGATTTTCTCTGCACACAAACACACGCACACACACACTTGGGCACGAACGTTTCGTCACTGCGACAAGTGGAGCAGGCAGCGACGTCGGCCGAGGCAGCGACGCTGGCAGAGTGGCAGGCAGAGGATGGCGACCGTAATTTCTTGTGGTTACTGGGACGCAAAATAAAAATATATAAAATTTATAGTAAATTAGGTGGGAGGTCCACAAACCCCGAAGCGGACTACCAACTCTATTTTTGCTGATATTTTAGGAAGGGCATACATCAGCCATATCTTCGATTTCCCACAGAACACATCGATTTCCGAAATACCGAAGCAAACTGAACCGAACTGAATCCAAACTGCAATAGCTGTTGGAAATGGAAATGGATGTGGATGACTGGGAGAACCGACTGTATCTGTCCCTGTATCCGTACTAGCATCCATGCCTGTGTGGGTTCTTGTAACTGTGTCTGTTTTGTTTGGGACGGAAATGCCAGTGGCGGGGCTTGAGGGGGATAGCCTCCCGCCACCGCCAGGTGAGTCAGAGTTCAATGGGGAAAGGGGGATCGTTTAGTTATTAGCCACATTTATAAGCACACTCGGAAAAAAATAAAAGGTTTGCAATACAAATATTATATTACTTAATTAACATTATTTTATAATATGTATAGATTATTATTTTAATTAATTACCATTAGCAAACTCAATGGGTTCTTAGATTACCACTTATACATATACGATCTAGCTTATTAAAAAAATTGCATCAATTACCATTCGGAAAAAATTCTCTAATAGTTTGATAAGCATTTAAAAATTTAATTTTATTTTTGAATTTTTCACACTTTTAATAATCCCTTATCAAATTAAAAACAAACATTATGTATAGCGGAAATGGTATAGGTAAATCAACAATATTTCAAATTATAGGGTAAAATAAATGTAGTTAATAACCCAAACTAAACTACCAATTTGAAGTGTATTTACTTAATTATTACATTTTATTTACATATGTATGTGTATTATTGAGATATATTAAAGTAGGTATCTATGAGAAGAAAAAGAAAAGATTATCAGAATTAAAAACCTTTTTTGTTTAGAACATTAATTTACTAATTGCAACTGGCAGTACACCCTTCATATATGTATGTATGTATTTATTTAGGTTCATATGTAGATTTCTAGTTTTAAAATACACTAATTCTATCGCATAAAATACTCTATTTTATGATATTTTATTATATTATAGCTCAAAAATTACCATAATGCAATAAAGGCTATACACTTAATTTGTCTCGTTTCGTTCTATAAATTTATAGGAGGGAGCACCTACAGACTCTTACTACATACAATAGACGCAAATACTTTTCTCAGATATCTCTTTTTAAAATACCTCATCTATTGCCTAAAAATCTCCATAATTTAGAGGGAATGCTTTTAGTTTGAAGGCCTTTTTCTGTTGGGCTATTGGATTCGGATTCTCCCATGAAGATGAGGTTGTGGATGTTGGTGTGGATGTGGATGTGGATCCCCCTTGGCGCCAAACACCACTGGCGAAGATTTGCCAATCGCTCGGCTCTCCGCTCTCCGGCACACAAACAGAGAGAGCGTGCGAGAGGCAGCACTCACACAGCCACACACGCCCGCAGAGTGGCTGGCACAGAGACACAGATCAGCCGCAGCAGCAGCAGCAGCAACAGCAACAACAAAGACGCAGCAGAATTTGAAATTAGGTCAACAGGTTTGGCTGCTTGTAGTGGTGGCCTGAGCCAGTTACTCGAGCGTATGCCGTCGTCTTTGCCTACGACCTCGGCTGTCATCATCATGCGAGGAGGAGGAGGAGGTGGAGGGAGGTGCGCGGGAGCAGCAGAGGGAGCAGCAGCAGCACCAACATCCAAGCTATCGCCGCCAACGCAATATGCGTTCCGTTCCGTTCCGTTCGCTCGTCGTTTATTGCACCACAGTTCGTGCAGTTTTCAGTTTGCAGTTTTCAGTTGCTGTGGGGGAGATGCACTCACACAAACACACACATACGTCCGAATTGAGCACACTGCAGTGGGGGTGGGAGGAAGGGGCTGCTAGAGGGTGGCACGCGGGGTTGCAAGGGTGCGCTGTCGCTGTGTGCGTGTGCTGCTTTCGGGGAATGAGCCAGGGATGCAGCGCATCATTCTGGCATCCAAATGCAAGAGACAAATTGGGAATCGATACGCCATCGACAGTAATTCCCATAAACAGTGGACAGCCCAATGGATGAGAATTGCAAATAAATAAAGGATTAACAGTAGGTAAATCCTTGTGATTACGAAGGATTGTATGCCCCAAAACATAATTATAGCGCCCTTTTCTACCAATAAACTAATTATTTAGTTTATTTAAAATGCTTTTTTGAAATAATAAACGGCAACGGACATTTGAAGTTCTTATAAGTAAAATGAATCGGTTTAGGACAATTATTATAGGTACTCCAATAAGAAACTTAGGGTTTCTTTTGATTCATTAATTAAAATACCCACACTAACCTTTTGGTAAATGGCTCTATTTAAAATTATTTTTTAATAATAAACAATTTAATTTTTAAATTTAAAATGTTAATATCTATCTGTAAAAACCTGAAATTTCCTTGCAAACTCAAATATCCGTGGGAAACCGTGTAAATTCATTGGTTCCGATTCCGTCAATATAGAACCGAAATCGGAAATAGGAACAGGTGTGACTGGCATTTCGAAATGTTCAGATTTAGACGGTCGGATAGCCGTATAAACCCCTTCTTCGATCGTCAGGTAACCTAGCAATCTTCTGACTTGGAAACTGTTGCGAAAATGCGCATATGTTCTGAAATGGAAACTCAATGCGAAGCGGAGCCAACTGGCGAGACCAACTCGAGTTTCTGATTTGATTTCGATGCAGCCAAGAGATTTCCACATACTTCTTAGTTGGTTTCTGTGTCACAATCGAACACAAACACACAAACACACAGGCTGTCGGATGCGAAAATGTGGATAGATGAGGAGGCGGCGGCAGCGGAGCAGGCGGAGTAATGAGCTCCCAGAGAGCTGCAGCCACCTGCAGCAGAGCGAAGGCCCAAAGCCGATGCCGATGCCAAAGCCGAAGCCGGAGCAGATAATCCCAGTAGAAATGGAAACTAGCTGCGGCAGGTTTAGAAACTGGTATAGAAAAACACAGGCAGCGGCAGACACAGTCATAGCCACAGCCAGAGCAGCAGCACCACCAGCACACATAGGCAATCGACCTTGTAGGAGTGTATTTTGTCTTGGAGCATGCCCGTAAACTGGGCCAACGCGATTGCACTGAAATCAGGTGGGCGTGACGTAGGTAAATACAGTCCAACTCCCCGAAGTTGGATTCGGTGTAACTCCACACAATAGGCAATGTTAAAGGGCAAAGGGAACAAAAGCTCATTTCCCTAAAATGTGTTTTAAATTTGCATATCTAACTCTCCATATCTCGACATGATGAATGATACTGACACATTTTCTACAATAATTGTATTATCTGATTTAATCAGCCTAGAATATAAAATTAGCTCTGTAATATTTTTAAAATTTACAGGGAATAAGAAATATCAAATTAGACTTAAAACCCTCGTTAATTTATACTGGTTAAACTTTTGCAAATAAATATCATCCATTCATTTTCTTTTCTATATAGCAACTGACCTATGTCAATTAATATTTGAGGTATTTTCCAGGTGTTGTAGATATAAATTGAAATTTATTTCGCAAAAGATGAAAAGTTCCAATATTAACGACCGTGACAGGACAATGATTTAGCTAATTTATAAAGAAACGACCCTTAAATGAAGGCGAATGTCTTAAAAACAAATCTCTTTTTTGATGTAAAAATAATAAACATGTACCCACACTTACGATCATAGGTTATAGTTTTTTAATATATTTGATTGTTTTAAATTAACACTGGTAAACACTTTTTGTTTAAACAGTTTATAAAGTCTTTATAACTTGAATTTCGATTCATCAATGTCCAAAAGTCGCAGTTTGTGCAATGAAATGAAGCAGATCCTATTTGAAATCCTCAAAATTTGTCAATTATATATTCCAATTAGAACTGCAAAATTTGATATTTCCAATTAGGGTACGTTTCACTGTACGTTGGCCAATAAGTGTGTGCGTGTGTGTGTGTGCTGACTGGCGTGCGGCTGTGTGTATGCGTGTGTGTGTGGGAAAGCTGGCTGTACCCTTGGCGCCCATTAATCCATGGCGGAAAATCCACGGAAAATCTGTCGCAATCGGACAGATATCCGAAATAGCCAGGCAGGCGCTGCTCGCAGGAGTTTCGTAATTACATACCCGCGACAGCCTTGGCTTCCGAATTTTCAGTTTACAGTTTCTTTTTCAGTTTCTTCTTGTCGGCTCTTCGATTCTTCTCAGTTTGGTTCTTCGGCCTCTGTGGGCTTTTAAGTTTTTCAGCTTTTCAGTTTCTTTAGTTTGTTTTGTGTCAGTTCTGTTCAGCTTTTCGTTTTCGTTTTTCGCCTTTTGACTTGGCATTAGCACAGCTGGAGTCTTTTGCAATGCTCTCGAAAAAAAAGAAACGCGCTGCGGTGTTTGGCAATTTTAGATTTCAAAATACCACAAGGTGCATTCTAACACACACGCACACAGAAGCACTCAGGCACACACACACACACACGTGCACTACTCGCTCTCGCGCTCTCCTCTCCCACACGAACACACACCAACACTGTGACAGTGCAGTTCTTGGATTGGCTTGTATCTATGTTACTCAATGGGCTCCTCCGGGGGGTGCTGGGGGAGGCTTTGCAATTTGCGTACACTGCGCGGAGTCGCGCGGATTATTCAACAGCAGAACTAACCTCCCGCAAAACTGCAACTGGAGCACACTGCACGACACAACAACAACAACAACCGTTAGTGTGTGGATGTGGATGCACTCGAACCGAGAAATCCGAACCCGAATCCGACTCCGACTCTGACTCTGACTTCGAAATGAACGAGAAACGCGCGGCTTAAAGGGCAAGTGAGTTAGCTGCGGGGCCCAAATAATAATAATAATAATAACAACAATAATAATAATAAAACTGTCAGCGGACAACGCGCGCGCGGTGGCCACATCCGAATGGGCCAAAAGACGAATCCACTCTGAGCGGATTCGGGTTCGGAATCGGAATCGGTATCTCAACGCTCCACGCTGCGCTGCCTCTGCCACCGCTGGCGTCGCTGCCGTGGCGGCGCTCGGTGAAACAAAAACAACTCAAGCGATTCCGATTCCTCAAGGCCTACTATTTAGGCCAAAAAATAATGTACCAGCACCAGCAGCAGCAGCAGCAGCAGCAACTACAACACGGAGCGGCGCAGTGGCAGCAACTCGTTTCTTACAGAAATGTAAACGTTCTAATTGAGTTCTCATTTATGGCCCGCCGCTGCTGCTGCTGCTGCTATACCGACTGTGCAACCAAACCGAGCCGAGTACTTGTTGTAATTGTTGTTGCCGCAAAGCCCAAAAAGCATCGGAAAATGTTTTTATCCGGCTGGCAGGCACAACCATTTTCAAATTGGAAACAAGTTTACTGAACCCTGCTCCAAGTTGGCGTTTTTCCACCAAGAGCAGCAGAAATCACTTGTCTTTTTGGGCCCCCAAAACACAGATTGAGTATCTTTTGGCCAACCATCTTATGGTTGTGTTTCTTTAAAGTCCAACAAAGATCAAGTGACGTTTTTGGGAGGTTTGTGAATTCATCGGCTAAATAGCTTCGACTCTAAAAAGTAATAATTATTCAGTATCAGTAAAGTATGAGCTATACCATAAATTGAAAACAAAATTACTAAACTTTGCTTAGTTAAAGTTTCCACTACCAGCAGCTTAATAAATTATCTCTTTGGGCACAAAACTTGGAGGTATTTACAAAATACTCAAAGATATCCGATGGATTTCTTCTACATATTAAAAAAGTATGAAATCAAATTAAACATATAAAAACATATATATCAATAACAAATAGAAAAGCAAAAGTAAAAATATCGTCGAATACATCTGAAAAAATAAAATATAAAAACTTAGAAAGATGAAACATGAGCACCCCAAAAAAAAAATTAAAAATTATATCAAATATTTAAATATTTCTAAAAAATTTCACTTAGCTTAATAATTAGAATAACTATATTTTCTTAGCAACTATTGTTAATTTATTTCGAGTCACAACTTATCAAATATTATTTATATTATTTCTTAAATTTTAACTATTTATACTTTACAACAAAATAGATGTGACGACATCAAAAAAGATAAGCAAGTGTTAACTTTAAGATCTTATTCCTAATATTTGCTGGTGAATCATTGATCCATATTTCTCAAGAGGGATGTCGACCAGAACGTTACGGTTTGAAAGTTTGGCGTTTGTAAGCCGAAAATAACCTCGTTTACGTGGTAAAAACAGAACCTACAGAAAAGACCAAAACCGGTTTGGCTTCTTATACTTTTAATTGAGATATAACCATTGCGAATGCATGAAAAGCTAACAAGCCTGGCAACGGATATCCGAGTCCGATGCACTTTCGGTTATACCTAGTCCCATTCATTTTCTGCCTCAGCCTCCTGGCTGAGTTGGCTCCTGCGCCTTTGATCGTGATTCCTTTTGTGACAGCGCCGCTTTGCCGCATGGAAGGCAGCTCTGATTTCCGTAATGTAATCCGACAAGATATATCCACTGGATTTTTGGATGTCTAGAAATGGGTTATTATAATTAGATCTAGTGGACTCTATTTAATCCTGGAATTTGGTTCAAAAGTATCTCTACAACTTAAAGGTTTTAAAATTTTGTTCAATTTAAAATTGATTAACTTAAAGAACAAACTTAAAAGATTATACTTTGTAATAAACGTGTTAAAAATAAATATCTGATCACTCACCTAAAAGGGTTTTGTTTATGTTTTTATATTGATTGAACGCTTTTTTATTTGAAACACCAGCGTAGTTGAAGGATAGCAGGATATTATCAGTAAAAAGCTTCACAAAAGACTTCTTAAGAGGTGTTACTTTGCCATCTGGCCTTAGAAGACGACGCATTAGCCGACCCTGAAATTATCCGACAAAAATAACAAAGTAAGTATAATATATAAAAGTAAATAACATAAGGGTATCAACAATTTAAGGAATCCCTTTTTCACTTACATAGGGATTGCCGGGCTCTGCCAGATAAGCGTCCAGTTTTGGCAGCTCATCGGGATCGGAGACCGGGAAATAGGCAACATCCACCTCACAGACATCAAGGCCGTATCGGCCCTGGGCCACAACGCCAAGACGCGTCAGGATTTCGCTTTGATTGCTCAGAATGTGATCCAGTTTAATTTCCAGTGCATCAAGTTCTTTGCGAGTGCGTTCATCGTCCTTGGTCAAAAGGACATTTACCTCTTCCTGAAGCGCTGTATACCTGCGTTTCGCCATTGTGATCTGTGGACTAGTTTGTCATTTTAATTTCCGTTTTTAAAACAATCACAAAACGAGCTGTATTTTATTATTTTTGTTTGTTTTGGACGCTCAGTGTGACTGCAAGCTGACCTAATAAAAATGTTGCCTGGTCCTCAAAAATATACCAAAATATACCGCGCCCTATTTTGCACACATTTGATCTGGCACTTTTGGTCGCTGGGACCGAAAAGTCTGGCAACGCTGGTCGTTCGTGCCGCGGCGTTGCCAGACTTTTTCGGTCCCAGCGACCAAAAGTGCCAGACTTTTCGGTCCCAGCGACCAAAAGTGCCAGATCGTCGGTATAGACTTAATTTTGACATTTTACTTTAAAATTCAGAGTGACCAAGGGGAAAATATCAAAAAACATCAAATAAAAATATCGCGCCTTCGGTATTTGGGCAAAAATAATTCAACAGCCCTACTAATAAGTGCGTTTTCTCGGCGCATTTGCAGGTATTGTGTGTGGCTCCGTTTTAAAATTTGTTTACCCGATAAGGAGCTGTGATACCCGGCCAATGTGATTGTCAAAGTGTAGCTAAAGTACCCGACCACACGTGTGCAGTGTTTTCGAAAGGCTGGAAGACGATTTTGCAGCGCAAAACTTTGTTGAAAATTCAATAGTGACCGCTGTCTGGAGCGGCAGAGTCGCCGTCAACTTGGTCCCCTTGGTTTACATAAGAGCGAAAGAGTCGGCTAGAGTGTGTTCGCAGAAATGGCGTCGAGTATGTGCACATGGCTGGCGCTGGCTGATTATAATATTTAACTTATAATTTCCGCGAGCGCTGCCAACTGCAACTCGAGATGCGTTGGCCCTCGATGCATGCCCGGTGACGAAATTGGTTTGTCTCCGGCGGGGCGTACATTTCGTTTTTCGGCGCAGTGTACACCACTTTGTCCGGTTTTTCATTCCGCTTTGTGCGCTTTATTCGGTTTCAATGCCCTCGCGTTCAGTGTTGCCAAGTGCCGAAGCGTGCGTGTCTAGTGATGTGTGCTTCCTGAATCCTGCCGGGAATGTGTGTTTTCCGCGGATATTTCCTGATTGATATTTCCCCCACTTTCTAGGCACATGAATAAAATCATTAAGTGATTGCATTGTTGGTTAATTTATTAGCCTTGCGAATTGCCGTTCGCATCTCTCGCACCTGGCAACACTGACCGCTGGCCGCGCCGCGGTGGTGCGAGGGAGACGCCGCTACGGCCGATGCAGAAGAGCGAGCACAAAAGCGAAAGCAGAAAACCGAAGCGAGGAGGCCAAGGAGTTTGTAAATCAATTTTTGTGTATGCCAGTCCTCATAATTCCCGTTGCAACTGAAATTGGGTGCTCTCCTGGTCCCACTGGGGCAATATCCATATCTGGAGCACAGGGCTTGGCGGACGTGCGAAATTTAATGTAAAAAAGTAAATGCGGTGGCGCGGCGTGTGCATGTGTGCGCAGAGTCTGTGTGTGTGTGTGCATGAATAATGTATGAGAAGGCGTTATTCACGGTAGAAGCTGATAAAACTGTTTTGACAACAAAATTGAGTGATTCAGATGCACTTGGTATCGGGGTCGCTCGCTGTCGCCCCCCTCCCTCCACCGTTCTGTCTCTCTCTCATCCCCTTTGGAAAAACGGCGACTGACGTTTTCGGCTTGGAAGCGTGCCTTCCTCTCCGTCCCACTCCCGTTACCTGTTTTGCCCGTACATTTTCCGCCTCCTCGCCACCCCGTTTGCACTAATTTTGTTATTTCTGAATGCTGGCTTTGTTTGTGCGTGTGCCGCTCTCTGTCTGTCTCTCTTAGTCGCCCTCCCGGTCTCGCATTCCGCTGGCGTGTGTCAGTGTGAGCGTGTTTGTTCACGTTCTTTCATTCTCTTTTATTAAATGTACATTGAACTCTCATCATTGCCAGCTTTTCTTTGCTGCTCTCTTTGGCCACTTGTTTTGCAATATTCACACGCACATTTTCGTTAATGAAATCTGTTTGCATAGCGGCGTCTTCCCAGGGATATTTTTAATGCTAATATCGTTATGATTTATTTAGAAACTTCCTGAATTGCCAAAGATCTAAAAGATTCTGATTTGGAATTGGATACCTTGGGGATTCCTATCCAATTCAGTCACCGTTGGGATTTGGATATTATCAGTCAGAGTCAAAGTAAAACTTTCCATACGAGCGATAGATTGATTTCGAATCTACCTTTCTCCGTTAATTTCAGCTAATTTGTATATACAGTGTACATAGAGATGAGCACACAAACTCGTTCAGGCGGCGGAGGAGGCGGCGGCCACACCCGCAACCAGAAAAAGTCAAATGCCAGCAACTCCGGCGGCGGAGGAGGAGGCTCCGGCACCGGCCACCATGATGCAGTCTCACATGCGGCGGCCGCCGGCAAGAAGGGCGGCGGCCTTGATGTCAGCAAGACAGACAAGCCAGAGAAGGCCCAGCCGAAGGCCACCACCGAACAGTTGCGCATTGCCCAGATCACCAATAGCACCACAGAGGATCCGCAGATCAAAGAGAAGGTGACCCTTCTTCTGACCATGACCCAACGTTCCGAGGAGGAGGTCTGCTGCGCCCTCAACGAGTGCGACTATGACCTAGAGGCAGCGGCCAACTTCTTGATCGAGGAGCTACCGCAGGTTAGTAGCAGACTAATATTCCAGCTCTTCAATTACTAAAGTGAATCCTTTTTGCAGGGCGCCTTTGCCAAGTACGAGAAGAAACGCAAGAACAAGGCTGCAAATGCCCCGGGCGATGGCGCCACTGGTGACGGAGATTGGGCCGATGGCAATGCGAATGCGGACAAGCGAGAAAAGTCGCGTAACCGCAGCTCAAATCGCGGCGGCGGACGCGGCTCCAGCGACAGTCGTGGCTGTAAGATACTTTTTAAAATACAAAGCTTAAATTAATAAATAAGGAATCAGGTTTACAAATAGGGTATTAAGTAGGACATTAATATATGTTTTACTTAATAAGGACACACTCTATATTCATCAGAGCTTTCATTGAGTATTAAGGCTTCTCTAATCCCATTCTAATCCTGTTCTTATACTTTACGTTACAGGGCGGGGAAGAGAGACCCGCGAGAACGAGCGCAATCAGCGCGAATCTCGGGAACCTCGATCCGGAGGCGACCGCGGCGATGACCGGGCCAACGACAACTACCGCGGGCAGCGGAACGGCGGCGGACGCAACGGACCCGGCGCCCTGGGCAGTGGACGCGGTGGTGGTTTCATCTCTCGCTCTGGCCGTGGTGGTGGTCGCATGGGCGCACGCAGCGGTGGCCCGCGTGGCGATCGCATCGGAGGCCCGGGCGGCGGTGGTTACGGACCCGGTCGCAGTGGCAACGCCAACGACGACCATCACGAAGTGGAGCTGTGGGACAACACCATTGCCCAGAACGCCGAGAAGCAGCAGCAGGCCCATGACGACGCCTGGGGCGATTGGAACAACGAGGAGTACGAAGGGTCGCTAAAGGACAGCAAGGTGTTTACCACCAGCAACTTGGCCACACAAACGGCCGCCAGCGTGGTGAGCGGTGCGGGAACGAGTGCTGGTGCCGACAGCTCGTTGCCGGCGCCTCCGGGTCTCGAACACCATCTGGTGCAGCAGGGATCATCTCATCTGGATGAGGGTTCCAGCAGCGGACCAACAGCGGGCACACCGCCGGCAACGCTCTCCAGCTCGGCGACTACGCCGCTGCTGCAGTACAGCGCAGCGGTCAGTAATCCACCGCCGCAGCTGCAGGCTCAGAGTACGCAGGCGGGAGCGGGAACGCCAGCAAGCGCAACTGCCGGCGGGGGAGCTGGTAATACTTCGTCCTCGTTTGGATCCGCCACCCCCGACACATTCTCGAGCGCCGCCTCTGCAGCCGCCACACTGGTGCAGCAAGCGCAGCAGCAGCAACTTCAGCAGCAGCAGACGACGCCTATCAAGCCATCGGCTACGCTGTCGGCCGAGCAATCTCAGTATTTCAACTCGCTGTCCAGCCAGGGCGCTAGCCCAGGATCTGCAGCGGTGCAGCCCGCACCAGCGGGTTATACGCAAAATCCAGTGGCCGCCTACTCGCAGACCAGTACCAGTGTTGGTGTGAGCCAGTATCCCAGCACGTATGCGAATGTGTTTGCCTCTGGAACGGCAGCAGGAGCAGCTGGGGAGCAGTCGCAGCAGCAGCCGGTGCGAAGGGCGCGTGTGAAGCTACCGCCACCCTCAAAGATCCCGGCCAGCGCTGTGGAAATGCCTGGAGACAATGCGCTGAATAACATTGGCTATCTGGACGTGCAGTTCGGTGCTCTGGATTTTGGAACTGACGATGGTTTCGATGCCGTCCCAGAGAAGGTTGGGGCGGGCTACAGCATCGACAGTCAGCAGCAACAGCAGCAGCAGGACGACTACCAGAGTAAATCCCAGCAGCAACAATCTGCGTTGACAGCGGGTCTGCAAAGTTCACAGATCGTAAGTACCCACCGTAGTCCCTTTGCTGGATATATAAGTTACTTAACAGCAAATCCACGAAACTCACTTGCAGGGCGATGCATTGAGTGCAGCGGCGGGCTATGCGAGTCGTTCGACGGCGCAGCAGCAAGGCGGCAGCTCGTCCGCCGCCACGAATGCGCTCGATCAGTTGGCCAAGAACGATCCCTATGGACAGGCCGGCGGCACCGGTAGTGCCTATCACCAGAACGCATACCAGACCAGCGGAGGAGCAGGCAAGGCGTCCAGCGGCTATCCTACGACGGCGTCTGCTGGCTACAGCAGCTCCAGCTACGCGAATGTTCAGAGCTCGGTGGGCAGTTACCAACAGCAGGGTTACGGCTATCAGCCCAGTGCGGTGAACTCCTATCAGCAGCAACAGGCGGGCGCCGGAGCGCAGAGTGGGGCCACAGGCGCGGGCGTAGCAGGTGCAGCGACGCAAAACATTCCGGTTGGTGGCAGCAGCAGTCAAAACAGCACAAGGTGCGTACCAAGTTCACCCGGGCTCATCTCTAATTCCTTTAATATTTGATTTCATATTGTTATTCGTGATTACTTAAGAATTTTCCCAGCCTCGAGATACCGAAACTATTGATTCATTCCCTTAACGTTGTTTTTTTTTTGTT